AGGTGTAGTACAAGGGGTGGGGGGGGACCCAGGCCCACCTGCTACTCTGGGTCCCGACCCAGGGACCCTCTAGCGGCAGCCTCCCTGCCCTCCTTCTCTCTCTTGTCAGACTTTGTCCCTGGGCCGCTTCGCCTTTGGCCCTGTGCCCCCGCTAGGCCCTTTGTAGGGAGGCCTGCGGTTTTCCTTGGCTGGAGCTCCCCAGCTCCTTCTGCCCTTCCCCAGCACTGCTCTGTCCAAGGTGCTACCTTTCAGCCCAGGAGCCAGTCCTCCTCCCTTGGCAGTCAGGGAGAGACTCCCTTTCCTCCCGCTAGGCAGCCTTTATATAGGGTCTAACCCGGCCCTGATTGGCTGCCTCTGCCCTGCCCTGATTGGCTCCTAACAGGCCTCTCTTGATTGGCTGCCGGCCTGCGCAGCCTCAAAGGCCTGTTCCAGCTATTTTCTCAGGGGGTGGGGCACCGCCCCACCACAGCCTGTTTTTTAAAATGGTAAATGGGGTGACCTGGATGTGACACTTTGTACCTCAAAGTAGCACCCTGGAACCCCAATATTTACCACTGTGGAATAATTATGATATGCTTGGTATAACGTATACCTTGTGAGGTATCATTTTAAAAGTCTTGATCTGTTGAATATTATTAACATTCTGTTGGATTGTATGTACTATCATTGTTATGAAGTGTTGCTATATGTGTTACTGAAATATGCTGTGTGGTTGGGAATGCTCACAGCGAGTCAATCAGTTGCAAGAAAGGAGGGCCAGACAGTGGTGATGGCCCATCAAGAAAAGAATACACTATCCCAGAGGCTCTATGGGGAAGGCACATACACAATGGAGACTGCTTGACCAATGTGGATTTCCTGACCCCCACGTACCAGCAGGATCTTTCTAGCATCTGGAAGAAGGTATAAAAAGAGAGACCGAGACAGGTTTTCATCACATGACCTTGTAGAGTCATAGCAGCCATTACTTGGAGGCTGTTTGTAGCATTTTCAGGAAGGCTCCCCGGGTGGGAGATAAGCTTCTCCTAAGGCCTGTCATTTTATCCTAATGTCCCATTGCCCTGAATAGCCCTTCCCCACCCAGCTAGCTAGACTAAAAGCATCTTGTCTAGTGGGCGTTACCCAGGTGTAACTACATTTGAAATACAGATACCTAGTCAATATTCATAACTTCAGATACAAAAATGATACATGCATACAAATAGGATAATAATATTCAGCAAATCATATCTTTTCCAATGACACCTCACATGACTTAGCATGCATAAAATGCATCATAATTATGCTATTACCATATCATAATAATATCACTATGAAGAATATGAGATGCAGTGTCACATGAGTAATGGAGAATATGTAAACAGGATGAAAAATCTGATGGGAAGATGGGTGAGGGGGGAAAAAGGGCTGCAAGCTTTGAAGAAATGTTTGACTTTGTTGCTCTGTAGCATTTCCTAAGCATATATAAAGATGATGTGAAACAGTGTCTATTGGACAAAAGTGTGAAAACTATGGATGAGATGCCATCTCTAGCTGATGCCTTTGAGCAGAACTAGGCATCTACTGGAGAGCAAACCACAGAAAGAGAAGCTTAAATCTGGTGGGAAGCCAAAACTATTCCTCTAATCCCCATCCCAAATCTCTTGTGAAAACAGAAGAACCCAGAAGGTGCTACCACTGTAATTCCATTGATCACCTGTGCTCGGAGGAAGCTGATAATACTCGTTAAAAAAATAATGTGTTCATTAAATTTGTGATTGAACTCCTTGGGGGAGAATTGTACGTCTCCTGCTCCATGGTTTTACCCACATTCTGCCATATATTTCATGTTCTAGCAGTCTCGGATGACAACCCAGCACATGTTGTTCAATTTAAGAACACTTTTTCACTGCAGATTTGACAAAATGCAAAGAAGTACGAATATGGCATTCCTAAAGATAGCTACAGCTGTCGACCTAAGATTTAACAGTCTGAAGTGCCTTTCAAAATCTGAGAGGGATGAGGGTGGAACATGCTGTCAGAAGTCTTAACAGAGCAACGCTCTGATGTGGAAACTACAGAACCCAAACCACCAAAAAAGAAAATCAGTTCTGTTGGTGGCATCTGACTTAGAAGATGAAAATGTACATGCGTCGGTCCGCACTGCTTTGGACTATTATTGAGCAGAACTCATCATCAGCATGTACGCATGTCCTCCGGAACGGTGGTTGAAGCATGAAGGTGCATATGAATGTTTAGCATATCTGACACATAAATACTTTGCAACGTCGACTACAACAGTGCCATGCAAACTCCTGGTTTCACTTTCAGGTGACATTGTAAATAAGAAGCAGGCAGCATTATTGTCCATAAATGTAAACAAACTTCTTTGTCTGAGTGATTAGCTGAACAAGAAGTAGGACTGAGTGGACTTGTAGGCACTAAAGTTTTACATTGTTTTATTTTTGAGTGCAGTTATGTAAAAAAAATTCTACATTTGTAAGTTGCACTTTCATGATAGATTGCACTACAGTGCTTGTATGAGGTGAATTGCAAAATATGTTTTTTTCTTTTTTTACAGTGCAAATATTTGTAGTAAAAATAATATAAAGTGAGCACTGTACACTTTGTATTCTGTTGTATTTGAAAATGTAGAAAACAGCCAAAAATATTTTAAAAAATGGTATTCTATTATTGTTTAACCATGCAATTAAAACTGCTATTAATTATGACTATTTTTTAATCTTGCGATTAATTGTGATTAATTTTTTTGTTTGATAGCCCTATTTAAAATCTGTATTTCTCCAGTTAATAAATCTTTTTTATATTTTACCTATAAGAGTATGTTTTGGCTGACTTGGGGCTGGTGCATGCCCACTTTCCTATGAAGAAGTGGCAAACTAGGTAATTTGAGCTTACACTGGCCAGGCTTCTGGATAATTACAGGCCTGTCAGCCTGACATCGGTTCCTGTCAAGATAATGGAGCAACTGATACGGGACTTGATTAATAAAGAATTAAAGGAGGGTAATGTAATTAATGAAAATCAACATGGGTTTATAGAAAATAGATTCCGTCAAACTAACTTGATATCTTGTTTTGATGAATGTACAGGTTTGATTGATAACGGTAATAGTTTTGACCTAGTATACTTAGACTTCTGTAAGGCATTTGACTTGCATGCTTTTTGCCACACAACATTTTGATGAAAAAACTACAATGATGTACAACTAACAAGGCCACACATTAAATGAATTACAAATTGGCTAACTGGTAGATCACAAAATGTAACTGGGGAATTGTCATTGAGTGGGCATGTTTCCAGTGGGGTCCCATGGGGATCAGTTCTTGGCCCTATGTTATTTAAGATTTTTGTCAATGACCTGGAGGAAAAAATAAAATCATCACTGATAAAGTTTGCAGGTGACACAGAAATTGGGGGTGTGGTGAATAATGAAGAAGACAGGTCACTGATACAAAGCAATCTGGCTCACTTGGTAACGGGGCGTAAGCAGATAATATGAATTTTAATAAGGCTAAATGTAAATGTATGCATCTAGGAACAAAGAATGCAGGCCATACTTACAGGATGGGGGACTCTATCCTGGGAAGCAGTGACTCTGAAAAAGATTTGGGGGTTATAGCTGATAATCAGCCAAACATGAGCTCCCAGCATGATGCTGTGGCAAAAAGAGCTAATGCAATCTTGGGAGGAAAAAAAGGGCAATCTTGAGTAGGAGTAGATTCAAGAAGGATGTTGATAAATTGAAGAGGGTTCAGAGAAGAGTGATAAGAATGATTAAAAGATTAGAAAGAGACAAGGTGGGTGAGGTAATATTTTTTATTGAACCATCTTCTGTTGGTGAGAGAGAGAACTTTCGAGCTACACAGAGCCCTTCTTCAGGTCTGTTTAAGCTTGAAAGCTTGTCCCTGTCACCAACAGAAGACAGTCCAATAAAAGGTATTACCTGACTTACCTTATCTCGCTAATATCCTGGAACCAGCACAGCTACCATAACACTGCCTTATAACGAGAGAGTCAAGAAGCTCAATCTATTTAGCTTAACAAAGAGAAGGTTAAAGGATGACTTGTTTACCATCTGTAAGTACCTACATGGAGAACATCTATTTAATAACAGGTTCTTCAAACTAGCAGAGAAAGGTCTAACACAATCCAATGGCTAGAACTTGAAACTAGACAAATTCAGACCAGAAAGAAGCATGCATTTTTAACAGTGAGCATAATTGACCACTGGAACAATGGTCAGTGGTGAATTCTCCATCAATGACAATTTTTAAAATCAAGATTGGATGTTTTTCTTTCTGCTTTAGGAATTATTTTGGGGAAGTTCCCTGGCCTGTACTGTAGTCAGACTAGATGATCACAATGATCCCTTCTGGCCTTGGAATCGATGACTAAGAGAGATGGAAGGCTCATCCATGAGTAATTATAGGAGTCTTTGGTTTGAGAAACTAACAATAGTTGGAAAATTCTTTATCAAGCAGCAGAGAGCTTTCCTTTCCTGGGAATTGTGTGTCTTAAGCTTTAGTTTAATTATGCTCCCCAGACAAATGTCTCACCTTTGGAATCAAGCTATGGACTCTCATTGCTTTTAGCTCTGAGAGGAAGCAAAGGTTTGGAATATGCATAAAGGTCATAGAAGAGTCATATAATTTAGTTTATGTTCTCCCCAGATAGATAAAAGGGCAGAAAGAGAGAGAAGCTGTTAAGAACATATTTTCAAGGCATATTTTAATGTCTGCACATCTTACAGTGGCAATATCATTATGTGCCTGCAAGTCAATAGGCTGCTCCTCGTTTCTATCCTTTGAGACTAATCCACAGCTGGCTGCACTGACAGTGTACTTGGACTGGATCTTAGTGATAGGATGTCTCAATGCAGAATAAGACAGGTCCTGCCATGCGGGCAGGGGACTGGACTCGATGACCTCTCGAGGTCCCTTCCAGTTCTAGAATCTATGAATCTATGAATAAAGACTCTGCTGCTATTTGCTGTTTAGGTGAAAATCTGGGACATCCCCAAACATTTACTAACCAGGAACATTACCAGTGCAAGGAAGGAGCTTCTGGGTCATGCTCGAAGGGTGGGACTCATTGAATGGCATCCTACGGCCAGCAACATTCTCTTCAGTACTGGTTATGATTATAAGGTGAGTCAGCTTTGCCCTTCTCTCCAACCTGCTGCAGATGCTGTGGGGCGGAATGTGCGGCCCAGGCCCAGGGGAGGGACTCAGAGGGTGCATCTGCAGGGAGAGGTTGCCCATACTTGCTTTGTTTCTTCACAATCAGTTTTGTTTGTACTCCTACATGTAGTTGCTTTCTGTAACAACAGAAACTCCACCATTTAAGTTGTATGAGGAGAACCCTCCTGGAGCCAGCACTGTGTGGGTCACCCCCACCTGGGGCAGAGGACGTAGAGACTGGGTTTGTACAGACACCTATGCTGCTGGTCCTGGTTACAGGGGCAAAAGCTGGGGTTCCCCAAGCAGAGTGGGCTCACCCCAGCCCTCTCGGGGTGAGGGAGTAGTCTGGCTCTTGGGCATTCCAGTCAGTCTCTCTAGAGAGAGCAGGGCAGGCAGGGAAATGTTTTCCTCAGGACAGCCATGTTGTAGTTGTAAGGTGGGGCAAAGCATGCTGGGAAATAAGGGGTGTATATAAACACTAGCTTTTCAAGCGATGGAGAGACCGGGAGGCAGGCAGACTGCATAGAAGGTCTGGTGTAGGGCAGAGAATGGAAATTCCAAGTCATGGCAGATTTCAAGTTTTTGAAATTTGTTTTCATTTCGATTAAGAACAAAACCTGGAAGATTTTAAATTTTTCACAAAAGAAAATTCAGAAAAAAATGTTTTCAGATTTATAAAAACATTTTGTGTCAATTTTAACTTTTTTATTTATATTCTAATATAACACAATATAATTATCACATCATTATATGTCAGCGTGGTAGTCGTGTTAGTCTGTATCAGCAAAAACAACAAGGAGTTCTTGTGGCACCTTAGAGACTAACAAATTTATTTGGGCATAAGCTTTCGTGGGCTAGAACCCACTTCATCGGATGCATGGAGTGGAAAATACAGTAGGAAGATGAAGTAGGTTTTAGCCCACAAAAGCCTATGCCCAAATAAATTTGTTAGTCTGTAAGGTGCCACAAGGACTCCTCGTTGTTTTCACCGTTATATTGTTGAGAAAGGAAAATGGAAATGTTTCATTCTGAAGATGTCAAAACAGGACATTGCAATATCATCTGAACTTTTCCTCTTTTTTTTCTCCAAACCAAAACTTTTGGCTAAATCAACCCAGTTTTGCAAAGTGTTTTGATATCGATAGAACACAGTCCTGTCCAAGTTCCTCTGGCAGCCCTAAAGTGAACCCACTTTTTGTGTTCTGGCTGCTACTCTGTGTGCCTTTGAGTAGAGGTGGCTTTGACGTGGTTTGTGTAACCTGTGGGACTGCAGGACCTGGCTGGGGTTTTAATTAGCTACCCTGGGCAAAGGGACATGGGTACAAACGCCAAAAAGGAGCCTTTTGAACATTCCCGACTTTCAGTGACCCTCTCTTTCCTCTAAGGTCTGTCCACACTTCAGTCAGAGAGTTGACATATCCCCATGGGCGACAGGCACGTGGCTTCCGCATTTGGGGAGGCTGGCCTGAGCGCCGGAAGCTCACCAGTGCCTGGACCGTGGCCCCCCCCTTGCTCCACTTGAGGCCCCTCCCCCACTCGGCCTCCTCCCCTGAGGCCCCGCTCCACCCCAGGCCCTGCTCCCACTCAGTCCCCTCCCCCAAGGCCCTCCTGCCTGCCGCTCGCCTAGTCCCTCTTCTTCACCCCGTTCCCTGAGGCCCCTGCCAAGTCCATCCCCCCTCCCGAGATTCCACCCCCCATCAAGTCCATCCCCCCGAGACCCCACTGCTTGCTGAGTCCCTCCACTCCCCCATTCACTCCACCCCACCACCTGCTGAGTTCCTCCACCCACCCCCCATGGCCTCCTCGTCTGCCGCTCGCCTAGTTCCTTCTCTTCTCCACCCCCTGTCACCTGAGGCCTCCACTGCCCGCCAATTCCATCCACACACCCCCGAGACCCCACTGCCCGCTCAGTACCCCCCTTCCCCCAGAGACCCCACCACCATCCACTGCCCATTGAGTCCCTCCAACCCCCTCCTCCAAGACCCCACCACCTGCCAAGTCCCTCCACCCCCTCCGCCGTGGCCCCACTGCTCGCCTAGTCCCTCCACCCCCCGCCCCCCGAGACTCCACCGCAAGCTGCTCGGGGGAGGAGAGGAGGGACTCAGCAAGCAGTGGGTGGGGGAGGGAGGGTGGAGGAGAGGAGGGAGTTGGGACTTGACAAGTGGGGGGGCCATATGGGGGGTGGAGGAGGGGAGAGAGCAAGTGGCAGGGGTCTCTTGGGGGAGGAGAGGAGGGACTCAGCGAGAAGCTGCAAGCGACGGGGGCCGTGGGGGAGGGACGGAGCAGGGACAGGAAGAGGTGGAACATGGGTGGGGCCACAGGAGGAAACTGGGGGGGGCCACCACAGCCCAGGCATCCGTGCACTCAAAGGTGGCAGGTTGGCAGCTGCGCTGCAGGGGAGGCTTACCCTCCCCTGGCCTACTATACCTGCCGCTAGGCATACCCAAGCTAGTGTTGATCTAGGGCAGTGGTTCCCAAACTTTAACAACCTGTGAACCCCTTTCACTAAAATGTCAAGTCTCACGAACCCCCTCCTAAAAATGAATATTTCCAGGGATTTTCTCCTTTACCTGAGTATAAATTATAAGAGCAGTGATCTTGGAAATATAAAATTTGTTTTTATGACATGCTTATTACACACTCTTTATTATTAATTATTATTTATCATTACAGTATTTTTATTACATTATGAAAATGGCAACACTCTTCCAAGATCTCACTTTCATAGTTTGTATCACTTTGAATAAGTCTGTTATAAGACAAGGCTCCTATGTTTCATCAAAGAGTATCAGATGTGAAACAGCATGAAGGTATTTAAGAAGCCAACTCAAAGAGTTCCTCCTACACAAGCATTCAGGTCTTGAGCAGTCCAGGCAAACAACGCACATTACAACAAAGCTTAAACTTGTTCTTCATAATAATTTTAAAAACAATACAAGCTGCCTATTTAATTTTAAAACCAGCAAAAAATATCCACCATCCTTTCCATTTCTTATAAGGAGTCTTGAAGTTTAAATCTCCTCAGTGTGATAGATATGCTTGCTTTGATCTGCTTAGCTCTTGGAAGTCCAGGGGCTCCGGGCTGCTGGGACAATTCTGTCCGCCATTAGGGAATTTTTTCCTGAGAACCCCCTGTAACATTTTGCGAACCCCCAGGGGTTCCCGAACCCCAGTTTGGGAACCACTGATCTAGGGAATGTGAGCACCAGTAGGTGTGACGCCACAGCGGCGTGGACTTCAGCATGGGCTAGCTGCTCAAGTACAAGTCCTGGGCGGGCTTGTTCAGCCTGCATTGCTATGGCATTGCAGCCGTAGGTACTCGCACTAGCTCCATCAAAACTAGTGGGGGGCATGTCTACAGGAGCTGCAGTCACCCCTCTGATTGCAGTGCAGGGGACCCTAACGGAGTCACAACCCGCATAACATTCACTTCCCCATCGTCTAGTTGTAGGTTTAGTTTAGTTAATGTTAATGTAAATGGCTGCTGTTCATTCTACCTGTTTTCCCCTGAAACAATTTCCCCATGCAATAAAAAGTCCCCTGGGAATGAGAATGTCAGCTCTTTGACACAGACTGCTGTAAGGCACTAAGCAGGCCATAGACAAACAATTTGTGATCATGATAATTATATGGGTAAAGAGGGTGTGAGTTCAGTGGGGCACATTGTTCCAGAACTTCACTCCCATCTCTCCAGGGGAGCAGCCATTTCATAGAATATCAGGATTGGAAGGGACCTCAGGAGGTCATTTAATCCAACCCTCTGCTCAAAGCAGGACCAATCCCCAGACAGATTTTTGCCCCAGATCCCTAAATGGCCCCCTCAAGGATTGAACTCATAACCCTGGGTTTAGCAGGCCAATGCTCAAACCACTGAGCTATCGCTCCCCCCATTTGGTGTGCAGTGTTGTACTTGCTGACTGTCAAATAGGCTGGTTTGAGGGAAAGGTGCTGAAAATTTGTTTCTTTGCCTCAGATAATGATCTGGAACCTCGACACAAAGGAGCCCGTAATTCAAAATCCGGTGAAGACAATCAGCTGTCACAGGGACGTGATCCTCTCCATGTCATTCAACACAGATGGCAGCCTGCTAGCCACTGCCTGCCGGGACAGGAAAATACGACTCGTTGACCCACGGTCAGGAGCAGTCCTACAGGTATACAGGGTTAAATTGCTTGATCCACAGTGCGTCTGACTGTAAGAGCTCTTTCTTCTTCGAGTGTTTGTTCATGTCGATTCCAATCAGGTGTGCGCACGCACACGATGGCCGGAAGATTTTTCCCATAGTACCATTGGTCAGGTCAGTCCGGGTGCCCCCTGGAGTCGCGCCTTCATGGCGCTCAATTTAGAGCCCAGCCGACCCGCCACCCCTTCAGTTCCTTCTTACTACCAGTGACGGTACGCTGGAACTTCCTGTAGCCCTGGCTTTAGCAAGCGTGTTTAACTCCAGTTGTTTGTACATAGTTAGTTTATCTTAGTAGTTAGTGATTAGAGTTATTGTGGGGTCCCCATCCCCCTTCTGACTCCCCGGAGCTGTGGTATGCCGCAGTCCCTGGGGTTTAAAAACAGTGTGGTCTGCGTGAAGCTCATGCCAAAGAGCGATCCACACTCCTCGTGTTTACGGTGCCTAGGGGAGGGTCACCAAAAGGATCGCTGTAAGATCTGCCGCGAGTTCCGCCCTAGAACTCTTAAAGAAAGGGAGCAGCGGCTAAAAGTGATCCTCATGGAGGCAGCTCTACACCCCCATTCGGACCCGGGCTCCTAACACTTCCTTGTCGATATGGAGCGCTCCGGCACCATCGAGTTCGGTGCCGAGAAAGGACTGGTCCCTGGACGCTCGGCACCAGCACGGCACTTCCCGAGGTCCAGCAGAGAGCAGGCACCGGTCTCACTCGCCGGTGTCTCAGAAGAAAAAGAAGCCAGACAGTCGGTCACCCCCTGCTAAATCTAAGAAAGTGAGACCCCAGGCGGGCCACAGCTCGAGATCCCCCGTTAGGGCCGCGTCATCTCCTGCCCAGCTGAGGCAGTTGAGTCCAGGCCCCCTACGTTCACCGGTCCCTATGGGCCAGCAGCTGCCACTTCCTTCAATGCTGGAAGCTTTCAAAGCTGCTTGGGAACTGCTGCACCTTACGGCGCCGTTCTCACCCCCTAGGAGGGAGGAACCTGCGATGCTGGCGGTCCCACCTCGCACCCAGGTGCAGTCAAGAGGGAAGCCGGCAATGATGTCCAGGCATTCCCCATCTCCATGTCCTTCAACATCGGCCCACTTGGACAGAAAGCCTAGTCGCACCCAAGCTCTCAACACTCGATGCACTGAAGCTCGGCTCCTCTGTGGTCTTCAGTCTTGGAGACCTCGGAGTCAGAGTCTGACTCCTACCGTTCTCAGAGGAGCAGGAGCCGACGATTGAGGTCAAGGCAAGAGAGGCGAGAGCTCCAGGCATGGCCACCTCAGTGGCAGAATCCACTGGGCCATTCTGGACCCCCTGGGCCTTTCACCAGAGCCAGGGAGGGATCCAAGGGCACTGCTCCGCAGCGTCTTCGGTGGCCTCAGCCACATTTGTCCCGCCATCAACCGCGCAGCTCGCCTCGGTGTCTACCCACATGTTGATGCCTTCGGCTGCGACATCATCACTGGCCTCGGCACTGGCAACTCTTTGGACCTCAGCGACGACTGCTGCTCCGGTGACGACAGCATTTTTGGCATCGATGATGACCTCGGCACGAACAGCAGCACAGACAACGGCCCCGCCACCTTCTTTGGCTCAGGCAGCTGGTTCAGCACCGGTTTCACTGGTGGCACCATCAGTGTCTCCGGTTCCCGTACCAATGCTGAGTTCGGTGTTGACTGCTCCGGCGCTGACAAGTGCTCCATTGCACTGACGTTCCCCTGAGAGTCACGGGACCCCTTGGGAGCTGATGGCAGGGAGCATCTGCTGCTTATAGGGGTTTCCTCTTCATCGTCTCCGGACGAGGCATTGGCAGGCACAGCCATAGCCCCGGCGCTTGAGGACAACAGGGTGCTACAACAGTTGCTGCGAAGGCTGCTCGGTCTGGGCATTAAGGCTGAAGAAGTGGTCGAGGAGGCTGATCCCATGGTGGATACCCTTGCCCCCTCAGGTCCTTCTCCTATTGCCCTACCACTTATTAAAACTATTGTGGACACCACCAAGACCCTGTGGCAGACTCCAGCTTCCTTGCCGCCCACTGCCAAGTGCAACGAGAGGCGTTGTTTCCTGCCCTCCAAGGGGTACGAACATTTGTACTCCCACCCACCTCCCGGCTCTCTTGTCGTGGCTGCTGCTAATTAGCATGAGCAGCAGGGTTTCCAGGGGCCCTCCCCTAAAAACAGGGAGGCTAAGCAACTCGACCTTTTCGGGAGAAAGTTCTACTCTCCAGGGGGTCTGAAGCTCTGTATCTTGAACCAACAGGCGATCGTCAGCAGGTACTCTTATAACAGCTGTGCAGCGATGACCAAATTTGAGGAGCTCCTCCCTTCAGACTCCTGAGTTGAGTTCTCGGCCGTGGTGGAGGAGGGAAAGCCAGTCTCCTGGGTTCCTGCCAGGTGTGATGCCGCCACTAGGGTCATGGCTACTGGGGTGGCCATGAGAAGGGGCTCCTGGCTCCAAGTCTCAGGGCTCCCTTATGAAGTCCAACAGACCATTCAGGACTTCCCATTTGAGGGTGTGACTCTTTTCTCTGAAACGACAGACAAGAGGCTGCACAGCCTGAAAGACTCACGAGCCACCCTCAGGGCCTGCACACTCCCGCCACACTTTAGGTCGCAACCTCCTCCGAGGTTCTATCAGCAGAACTGCCAGGATGGTTCTTGGAGGAGGAACAGGAGTGGCAGGAAAAGACAACACCCATCCTTAGGCCAGGGCTCTGGCCAATCCAAACCACCTTTTGGCCCGAAACCAGCCTTTTGAAGGTGCGGTCAAGGACGGCGCACCAGATCCCCAACTGGATCCACCCCGCCTTACCTTCTTGTCCTGACTGTCCCCTTTCTACTGTGCATGGTCCTGTATCACCTCGGACTGTTGGGTGCTTTGCCCAGTAGAGAGGGGATACGCCATCCAATTCTGTGCCCTTCCACCCTCCTTCCCTGACCCTCTTCAGGGACCCTTCTCACAAGCAGCTCCTATCCAGGAGGTGCAGTCGCTCCTATCTCTAGGGGCAGTGGAGGAGGTTCCTCAGGAGCACAGGGGCGAGGGCTTTTATTCCAGGTATTTCCTAATACCGAAAGCCAAAGGCAGCCTCAAGCCTATCTTGGACCTGCGAGAACTCAACAAGTTTGTGAAGAAACTCAAGTTCCACATGGTCTCTTTGGCCTCCATCATCCCCTCACTGGTATGTCACCCTCGACTTGAAGGACGCATATTTTGATATCGCAATCACTCAGCCCCACAGGAAGTACCTCAGGTTTGCGGTCAACAGTACCCACTACCAATTTACTGTCCGTCCATTCGGCCTGTCAGCAGCACCTTGAGTCTTCACATGCATGGCAGTCGTCGTCACGTTCTTGCGCAGGCACCAGGTACAGGTGTTGGCATACCTCAACGACTGGCTGATCAGGGGCCCTCTGGGACCCAAGTGGAAGCTCAGGTCAGATTCATCAGAGCCAGCTTCAACATCCTGGGTCTCCATCTAAACGAAGCAAAATTGACTCTGTCCCCCATCCAGAGGATAGAGTTTATAGGGGACTTGACCCAAGCCAGGGCATACCTGCCAGAATCAAGGTTTCAGGCCCTAACCGATATCATTCCAGGCTTCAGACAGTTTCCCACCACCACAGCGATAAACTGCCTGAAGCTTCTCGGACACATGGCTGCCTGTACCTATGTGGTGCAGCATGCCAGGCTCAGGCTTCGACCTCTTCAGTTGTGGCTTGCGTCAGTGTATCACCCAGCCCAGGACAGCTTGGACAGGATTTTGACCCTGCGTTGCCCGGTCCTCTCCTTCCCCCTGGGGGGGCTCGCCCCCCGGGGGGTATGCGGGGGGGGGGGGGGGGTATGCTCCCCTTCGCCACTCCGCAGCCGTCTCTGTCGCTAGTGAAGGACGCATCAGACTTGGGCTGGGGAGCACATCTGGGAGACTGCAAGACTCAAGGCCTCTGGTCTCAGGAGGAACTAGGTCTCCACATCAATGTCAGAAAGCTGAAAGTGGTGCGCTTGGCATGCCAGACCTTCCAGGCATACTTAACGGGACAATGTGTATCAGTCATGATGGACAATACAACAGCAATGTTCTACAGCAACAAACAGGGGGGTGCACACTCCTCTCCCCTGTGCCAGGAAGTCCTGATGCTGTGGGACTTCTGTGTAGAGCATTCAATACACCTGCATGCGTCGTACCTCCCCAGGGACCACCTCAGCAGGTTGTTTCATGGCCATGAGTGGTCCCTTCGCCCGGACGTCGCGATTTCAATCTGCCAGAGGTGGGGATTTCCCTAGATAGACCTATTCGCCATGTGACACAACAGGAAGTGCCAGCAGTTCTGCTCCTTCCAGAATCACAGCCTAGGCTCCAACGCGGATGCGTTCCTCCTCCCATGGGAAGGTTGTCTCCTATACGCCTTTCCGCCCATACCGCCCATTCACAAGGTGCTCCTCAAGATCCGGAGGGAACCAGCTCAGGTTATATTGATAGCACCAGCCTGGCCCCGCCAGCACTGGCACACATCTCTCCTAGACATGTCTGTGGGAGCCCCGATCACCCTGCTGCTCTTCGCGGACCTTCTGACACAAGATCACGGTCGTCTTCAACATCTGAACCTCGAGTCACTTCATCTCACGGCATGGAAGCTCCATGGTTGAATCCAATGGAGCTTTCCTGTTCAGACCAGGTTAGACAGGTCCTCCTTGGCAGCAGAAAACCCTCTATGAGAGCCACATTCCTTGCCAAGTGGAAGAGATTTTCAACCTGGTCGGCGCAGTGCCATTCGTCCCCGACGCTAGCCTCAGTGCCACTCATTCTGGACTACCTCCTACATCTGAAGCAGGAGGATCTCTTGTTGTCATCAATAAGGGTGCACTTAGCTGCCATCTCAGCCTTCCACCCAGGCGTGGTGGGCCGCTCTGTGTTTGCTAATCCTATGGTCAGCTGGTTTTAAAAGGACTCGACAGGCTATACCCTAATGTGTGTCAGCATGTCCCTGCCTGGGACCTCAACCTGGTCTTTTCCAGGCTCATGGGACCCCCCTTTGAACCATTAGCGACATGCTGTCTGCTCTACCTCTCTTACAAGGTGAGGTTCCTGGGAGCGATAACCTTGGCCAGGAGGGGGTCTGAGCTCAGGGCTTTGACATCAGACCCTCTCTACACTGTGTTCTATAAGGACAAGGTGCAGCTCAGACCTCACCCTGCTTTCCTCCCGAAGGTTGTGTCGCAGTTTCACATCAACCAGGACATCTTTCTCATGGTGTTCTACCCTAAGCCACACTCCAGCGGCAGGGAGCAGAGACTCCACTCTCTGGATGTCTACAGGGCGCTGGCCTTTTACATCGAGAGAACGAAGCTGTTCAGAAAATCGGTCCAGTTATTCGTGTCAGTGGTGGACAGAATGAAAGGTCAGCCTGTGTCGTCACAACGCATTTCGTCATGGATAGCATCCTGTATTCATGAGTGCTACAACCTGGCAGGTGTTCCTGCACCTCCAATCACTGCGCACTCCACCAGGGCGCAGGCTTCATCAACAGCGTTCCTGGCTCAAGTTCCCACTCAGGAAATCTGCAGAGCGGCGACGTGGTCCTCCATCCAAACCTTCGCCACGCACTGTGTGATTACCCAGCAGACCAGAGACAACGTGGCCTTTGGACGAGCCGTGCTTCAATCAGTGGAAGACTCTGACCCCACCACCTAAACTTGGGCTTGTGAGTCACCTGATTGGAATCGACATGAACAAGCACTCGAAGAAGAAAAAACGGTTACTCACCTTCTCATAACTTTTGTTCTTCGAGATGTGTTCATGTCCATTCCAATACCCACCCTCCTACACCTCTGTCGGAGTAGCCAGCAAGAAGGAACTGAATGGGTGGCGCGTCGCCAGGGCTCTATATTGGGCGCCATGAGGGCTCGACTCCAGGGGGCGCCCAGACCGACCCGACGGACGCTGCTATGGGAAAAATCTTCCGGCTACCGCGCCCATGCGCGCGCACACACTGATTGGAATAGACATGAACACCACATCTCGAAGAAAAACAGTTACAAGAAGGTGAGGAACCGTTTTTTCTCTTCTGCACTGATGTATTCCAGGTAGGGATGGCTGCTTCTGTGGGCAGCATTGCACAAGGGGCGAGTGGAGGCAGGATCTGTGACTCAGGGCTGATGTGGTGCAGCAGATTCTGGAGCAGATTATTCAGTGTGCTCTGGCAGAGCCCCAATGTTACAGAGTGGCCTGGCTAAACCCTCCAGTTAAACTGGAGTCCGTCTGTGGAGCAGTGCACGCCATCTGGAGCGTAGCCCTGTGCATCTGTGAGGAAGAGGGGCAAATTGTTTCAAAAGAGCTTAAATTGGAAATGTTTCCATGATGTTTCCCAACGTGGTGCCGCAAGTTCCTCCAGCAGAAGCCTGAATGAAACCGAGCCTGCTCACAAGAGGAAATCAATTGGATGCTGTGGCTCTAATCTCTAGCAGCCATTTCTCAGCCTCTCTCAACACAGCTTGGTGTGACTTGCTCTTCTTGGCAGCCTGGCTGCTGCTTTTGGACAGTCATTAGCAAGTTAAGAAACATTGTGCTGCCTTACAGCTACACTCCTTCCCCGCCTGCAGAATAAACCTGGAAACTGCAACATAACCAGAGTGACTGGGGAGGAATACTGCACTCTTCTGTGAGCTAACACTTCTTCTTCGAGTGATTGCTCAGGTGTATTCCACAGTAGGTGTGCGTGCTCACCACGTGCACCGGTGCCGGAAGTTTTTCCCTTAGCAGTACCCGTAGTGGGGGAGCCCCGCTGCGACCCCTGGAGTGGCGCCTGTATATTGCGCCATAAAGGGGGCTGCGTGCTCCCCCCACCCTCAGTTCCTTCTTGCCACCAGTGAAGGTAGTGGGAACTTTGTGCTCCAGCCTTGGCTGCAGCGATTCTAGCCTTAGTGGTACTTGTTCGTCAGTGGAACATGGTCTTCCCTAGGGATAAGGTCCAGCTCTGCCCACATCCAGCTTTCCTGCCGAAGGTAGTTTCGGCTTTTCACATAGACCAGGATATTTTCCTTCCGGTCCTCTGTCCTAAGCCCCATTCCTCCAATGAAGAATGGCGCCTGCATATGTTAGATGTGCGAAGAACGCTGGCTTTTTACCTAGACAGAACCAGGCCATTTAGGAAGTCCCCCCCCAGCTGTTTATTGCATCGGCCGAGCGCATGAGGGGGCGATCGGTTTCCACCCAGCGGATTTCCCGCTGGATCACCTCGTGCATATGCACGTGTTACGACCTGGCAGGGGTTCCCCTGCCTCCTATAGTGAAGGCTCATTCGACGAGAGCTCAGGCCTCCTCGGCTGCCTACGTGGCTCATGTCCCTATTCAGGACATATGCAGGGCTGCTACGTGGTCCTCTGTCCACACCTTCTCATCGCACTATGCGATCGTCTCCCAAACGAGGGATAACGCTGGGTTTGGCAGGGCAGTGCTCCGCCCGGGTAACCCTTAACACTTATCATTCAGAACTCCTACCCACCTCCGTCAGGTACAGCTTGGAGTCACCTACTGTGGAATACACATGAGCAATCACTCGAAGAAGAAAGGACAGTTACCTGTTCCATAACTGGTGTTCTTCGAGATGTGTTGCTCCTGTCTATTCCACATCCCACCCTCCTTCTCCTCTGTCGGAGTTGTCCGGCAAGAAGGAACCGAGGGTGGGGGGAGCCCGTAGCTCCCCTTATAGCGCGATATACAGGCACCACTCCAGGGATCGCAGCGGTGCTCCCCCGGTACGGGTACTGCTAAGGGAAAAACTTCCGGCACCGGTGCATGTGGCGAGCACGCACACCTACTGTGGAATACACCTGAGCAACACATCTTGAAGAACGCCAGTTACGGAACAGGTAACTGTCCTATCCCACATCTCGGAAAGGAAAACACAAAGATTTCCGTTGCTCCTATGCACCCCTGCCTCGTCCCCTCACCTAACTAGTCCCAGTAACACCTCATGCCACTCTTGCCTGTCTGCCTTTCTTATGCTCACCCCAACCTCCTGCTTCTTGCCCACCTCATTCTCTAACTCCCCCCTGAAATTCACCAGGTTTGTGTTAGTTTCCCACCTAGACACTATGGTGCGTGGTGTCCTGGGAATAGATGGCAAGGGATCCAGGTCTGTGTTGTCCCCTTGCCAGCGCCTGTCTGAATAGTCCTCTCTGACTGTGTGGGAGAGATTGCGGGGCCACACTGTGCAAGTACACAAAAGTTTCTACATTAAAACACATAACTAGCCGCAGCCTAAGTAACATTTCTGCTGGCAGGGTAGCAGTATTCTGGCATGTGGCTCCTGCAAGCTGCAGCCACTAGAGGGCCCCATGGTCTCCCCGTTATGTACTCCAACGCGGTGTAGAGCTGATGGCTGGGCCCCAGGGGAGCTGGGCCTCTTGCTGCCCTCAGCCCCTTTGAAATCTGTGCCACACTGCTGCCATTGTTGCAGCAGGACAAGCAGCCCAGCCCCGTACGACTAGGGTTGCCAACTTTCTAACTGCAGAAAACCGAACACCCTTGCCCTGCCCCACCCCTTCCCCCGAGGCCCTTTCCCTTCCCTGCCCCTTCTCCAAGGGCCCGCCCCCGCTCACTCCATCCCCCCTCCCTCTGTCGCTCGCTCTCCCCCATCCTCGCTCACTCGCTCATTTTCACCAGGCTGGGGTAGGGGGTTGGGGGCAGGAGGGGTTTGGAGGGTGGGGCCGAGGGGTTCGGAGTGTAGGAGGGGGCTCTGGGCTGGGGAAGGGGATTGGGGTGTGGGATGGGGTGAAGGCCCTGGCTGGGGGTGCAGGCTTTGGGGTGGGGCTGGGGATGAAGGGCCTGGGGTGCAGCAGGGGGCTCCCGGGTAGAGCCGAGGGGTTCAGAGTGTGGGAGGGGACTCAGGGATGGGGCAGGATGTTGGGACGCAGGAGGGTGTTCGGGGTGCGGGCTCCAGGCGGTGCTGACCTCAGACAGCTCCTGGGAAGTAGCGACATGTCCCCCCACCCCCTGGATGGCCGGGGGGCTCCATGTGCCACCCCCCCCAGGCACTGTCCCCACGGCTCCCATTGGCTGCAGATCTTGGCCAATGGGAGCTCTGGAGCCGGCACTCAGGGTGGCGCCTGCGGGCGGGGGCAGGACATGGAGCCCCCCTGGCTGCACCTCTGCCTAGGAGCCGGAGAGACATGCCGGCTGCATCCTGGGAGCTGGGCACAGAGCCTGCCTGCCCTGTTGGCACTGCAGCCAACCGGACTTTTAGCGTCCCGATCAGCTGTGCTGACCGGAGCTGCCAGGATCCCTTTTCAACTGGGACTTCCGGTCGAAAACCAGACGCCTGGCAACCCTACGTGCGACCTACACTGCTGTTGCTGTAGCAGGGCGAGCGGCCCAGCCCCATCAGGACCAGTGCTGTCACTGCCGCAGCAGGGCAAGCAAGCCAGCCCCACGGGACCTGCAGAGGGCCATGTGAGGAGAGGCAGATGTGCAGTGAGATCCTCATTGGGTGGGGCTTCAGGAGAAGGGTGCAGTTAGTGCCTTTTCTGCTCAGCAAACTCAAATAAGCTTCGGACAGCAATGAGAAAAAAATGTCTCCCCATGCCTGGATTTCCCATGTGACCATGATAGTAATGTTCTGTGTGTCTCCTTACAGGAAGCCAGCTACAAGAATCACAGAGTGAATAAAGTTTTGTTTCTAGGAAACATGAAAAAGCTGCTCTCTACTGGAACATCACGCTGGAATAACAGGCAAATTGCACTATGGGAGCAGGTGAGTCAGAGCCAACAATCCAGCCATAGAAGCTTCAGTTTTCCTCACCAATTGGGATTCCTCATTACTTTCACTTTAACCCTTGTGCCTGCCAAATACCCAAGAATTAATTTGTAGCTAAGTTCCAAGGTGGTCTGTCAAGCTAAAAACTCTTAGGTGGATCCTGGCTTTTGTGTATAAAATGTTATGAAATAGAAATGAATTGGTCAAGAAGCAAGGCAGGCTGACAGCATGGCAATAATGCAAACAGAAATGGAAGCAATTTTCTAGCATTGGAAGGGGTGCTGGGTATGGGAGGGAGCAGTTTCAAAGGAGCTAAAGGCTGGCAGCAGGCAGACGGGAGCAGCATGTCCATACTGCAGACCTGCAATAAGAAGTGTGAAGAGACTTCTGTGTATCCCTCCCTCCATGGCCATGGGCCCTCTCAGAACTGCCCTCCCCCCCCAAATCAGTGGGAGCAACAGTGGGACTCAGGATCAGATGCTCTAGGGCAGGGGTTGGCAACCTTTCAGAAGTGGTGTGCCGAGTCTTCATTTATTCACTCTAATTTAAGGTTTTGCGTGCCAGTAATACATTTTAACCTTTTTAGAAGGTCTCTTTCTATAAGTCTATAATATATAACTAAACTATTGTTGTATGTAAAGTAAATAAGGTTTCAAAATGTTTAAGAAGCTTCATTTAAAATTAAATTAAAATGCAGAGCCCCCCGGACTGGTTGCCAGGACCCGGGCAGTGTGAGTGCCACTGAAAATCAGCTCATGTGCCGCCTTCAGCACGCGTGCCATAGGTTGCCTACCCCTGCTCTAGGGCATTTTCAAGCAAGACATTAAGGTTCTGAGAGCAGCTGTTTCTCTCTCCTTTGACATGCCCAGGGTGATCTTTCTGTGCCTTTAGTTGAGGAGGATCTGGATGGCTCCTCGGGGCTGCTGTTCCCGTTCTATGACTCTGACACTCACATGCTGTATGTGGTGAGCAAGGTAAGTGCTTTTTCTATGAATTAACATCAACGCCACCAATTCGGTTCCCAACTACACTGCTTTGCCATCGGCTTCAGTGGGGTTACTCCTGATTTACACTTGCTTGAGTGAGGGGAGAGAATCCTGCCATTCTGCTTTAACTGAAGGTCCCCGATGAAGCAATAAGACACTTATTGGATAATAGACCGATACTAACTGTGAATCAGGTCTTCAGTATTAACTGCAAAATCACGTGTTCCCAGGACATCCCACAGGCTTAGCCAAAGAGGAGCAAAAAAGTAGCAGGAAAAGATTCACTTGCACTCACTAGAAGTGAGGCTGAAAAGATGGGATTAAAAGCCTTTGGGGCTCACTTGTCCAAGTATGGCTCACAAATTGCTGTGCATTGTCTAGTGTGGTGCGCATTTGGGGATCCACATGTCCTCCTGTTTGCTCGTTATATGACAGGCAGAAAAAAGTGCTTTCGTGTGTTGATCTGAAAGTTCCCAAAGTCCTGATGTGTCTAGCTCTTTAATCCTTACCCCGTGGCCCCGATCCTGTGCAGACAAGCCTAACACTAACACTAGGCACATGAGCTACAGCCACTGCCTTTGTGGGAGTGAAGTTCGGCAGGGTCAGGGCCCAGGTGAGCAAAGGTCTGTCAGCTTCTGTCCCCTCCTCTTTGCAGGGACTGAGAATCCAATAATAGAGAGATGTCTAGCCCCAAACTGAGCTGCACTCCCATGCAGTGGGCAGCCCAGAGCGGAGGCACCGCTGAACACTTAGAATCACAGAATCATAGACATGTAGGGCTGGAAGGGACCTCAAGAAGTCATCGAGTCCAGCTCCTGCGCAGAGGCAGGACCAAATATACCTAGGCCATCCCTGACAGGTGTTTGTCGAACGTGTTCTTAAAAACCTCCAATGATGGGGATTCCACGACCTCCGTTGGAAGCCTGTTCCAGAGCTTAACTACCCTGAGAGTTAGAAAGGTTTTCCTAATATCTAACCAAAATCTCCCTTGCTGCAGATTAAGCCCATTACTTCTTGTCCTACCTTCAGTGGACATGGAAACAATTGATCAGTCTTCTTTATAACAGCTCTTAACATGTTTGAAGACTGTTATCGGGTCCTGCCTCAGTCTTTTGCAAGACTAAACATGTCCAGTTTCTTTAACCTTTCCTTATAGGTCAGGTTTTCTAAATCTTTGAGCAGTTTTGTTTCTCTCCTCTGGACTCTGGCAACTCACATATTACTCCAGCTGAGGCCTCACCAGTGCCGCATAGAGGGGGACCGTTACCTCCTGGTGTCTTACATATGACACTCCTGCTAAAATACCCTGGATTAGCCTTTTTCACAACTGCATCACATTGTTGATCATATTCAATTTGTGATCCACTAAACCCCCTGATCCTTTTCAGCAATAGCCATCATTCACCATCTAGCCAGTTATTCCCCATTTTGCAGTTGTGCTTTTGATTTCCCTTCCTAAGTGTAGTTCTATAAATCAGTGATACACCTTCACCTGGAATACTGGGTTCCATTCTGATAACTCTCTGACGAAAAGGACATAACAGAAATAAAAGGGGTTCAGAGACCAGTGGAGGAAAAATATTAGAGGCCAGGAAAATACTTTTATATGGAAGGAGACTGGAAAGATTGGGACGGTTTAGTTTAGAGAGGAAACAAATACAAGGTGATATGATAGAGCTTTAAAAGAACAATGGACGTTCTAGAGAAGGCAAACCAGGTGACCACCTTGGGCTCCCCCTCTCCTGCAGCAGGGGCTAAGCAATGCCTTTTGTTCTCTCTTGTCGTCTGTAGGGTGATGGGAACATACGATACTATGAGATAAACGCTGATAAGCCGCACCTGAACTACCTGATGGAATTCCGCTCCCATCAACCACAGAAAGGAATCGGTGAGTTTGTATCGTGTATTTCTCATCTCACTAGGGGCCCAGTGCCACACCCTGAGGGAATCCAGTGGGAGTACAAGACTGGCCCACAATTCCATGGGTTTTGGTGAGAAGACAGGGGGCCCAGTTCTGCTCTCACTCAGTGTTACACTGTTGTAAATCACAGATCCATAGACTCCTAAACCAGAGGGATTGTAATGACCATCTAATCTGACCCCCTCCAGAACCCAGCCAGAAAACCTTGCCCAGTGAGCCCTGCAGTCGTCCCTGTCCCCCCCCTCCCACCCCCAGAGCTCCCAGCTGAGCTAGAGCGGATCTTTTAGAAAGAGACACCCAGTCTTGATATGGGTGTCTGCAAGACTGCAAATGCTGGAAAATCCCCCACATCGTTCGGAAACTGCTTCAGTAGCTATTTACCCCGCTGTTAAAATGTGCGTCTTATTCCTAGTTTGAACTCTGCTGACTTTGCTTCCAATCTGGGATCTCTTTGTGCCTTTGCCTGCTACACTAAAGAGCTCTCCAGTATCAGCCATCTTCTCCTCAAGCAGGGACTTACAGACTGCCCACCCACAAATCCAGGTTCCAAGCCAGGGACCCTACAGCACTCAGCCAAGACCTGCTCAGTCCCCAGCCTTGCTGCTCTCTCCCTGGGCTGCTTCCTACTTGCCTCCCACAGGCTTTATTCTCCACCCACCTCTCTTCTGGGAATGCACTTCCCGCAGGGTCATGCTCCTGGGGTCTTACTCTTTCCCTGTTGTAATGGGGTCACCCACCTCTCGCCTGTGCCCCTCAGTCAATGGTTTGTTCAGCGGGTCTTCAGTGACTCAGCCCTCCAGCCAAGTCACACACACTGTCTGTTGGTGGAACAGAACAAACCCTTTCCGGGGTATGCAGTCTTTACCTTCTCCCGGCCCTCGTATGGGGCCATACCCCCAGCAGCTAGCCAGGAGCTCCTTCTTAGCTCCTTGGTCCCTGCATGCACTGAGCTGGCTGTGGTCCTGCTGCTCTTCCAGCCAGGCAGGAACCCAGTACTCTCTCTTCCAGGTCCAGACAGCAACTGACTGACCCTGTCTCTGCTGCCCCTCTGTTGGCTGCTTCCCCTGCAACCACTCTAGGCTGCTTGGAAGACTTTTCTTCTGCTCCTCTCTGGGATGGGGTGTAGCAGGTCCCTCAGGCCTCCAACAGGGGGCCTCTGGGCCTAGTCCACCTTTTCATACCTGGATTCCCTCCTTCCCTCTCTAATGCACAGAGGGTGGCTGTAGCCTTCCTCACTGCAGCCATCTCTGTTGGCAGCTTCCTGGCTTTATACTAGCCCAGCACACACCTGCTCAGCTGAGCTTCATGCTGCAGTCAGGGGTTGCTTCTCCAGGCTAATCCCCTCATGTGGGGTCTATCACAATTGGTCTTTCTCAGCTTCCGTAAGCCTTTCAGGGCTGTTGTGGGGTGAACACCCCATCAGAGTTTTACAGGCTAGTAACAAGTTGTGTGAAGAAGTGTATCCTTTTTATTGGTTTGAATTTCCCACTTTTCAATGCCACTGAATGTCCCCTTGTCCTTGTGTTCTGAGACAGAGAAAACAGGAGCTCCCAATCGCATGTCTCTGGGCCAGTCACTATTCTATAGACTTCTGTCATGTCCCTCTCCAAGATAACAAACCCAGTCTGTTCAGTCGCTCCTCATAGGGAGTGTTTCCAGGCCCTTGATCATTCACCCTCATTTCTGTGGAGAGAAAGGAAATTCTGCACGCACAACATTAATTTCTGCGCAAATTCTGCACGCACAGTAGCACAGAAATCCCCCAGGAGTATATAATGGTGCTAACACTTTCCTATCTCTACTGGAAATACTTTGCCTGATGCAACTTAGGAGTGCATCGGCCTTTTTCACAGCTACATCACATTGGCAGCTCATAGTCATCCTGTGATCAACCAATACATGCAGGTCTTCCTCCTCCTCTGTCACTTCCAACTGATATGTCCCCAGCTTATAGCAAAAATTCTTGTTGTTAGTCCCTAAGTGCATGACCTTGCAATATGCACTATTAAATTTCATCCTTTTTCTATTACTCCAGTTTTCAGGGTCCTCCAGATCTTCTTTAATGATATTCTGATCCTCCTCCATACTGGGAGTACCTCCCAACTTTGTGTCATTGTGATGGGGTGTACAAACCCCCCACTGAGCAACAAGGGCTTAAGGGCTCATTTTGGGCTCAGCCAGCCCCACCTGTCACACCTGCAGCAAATGCTCCATCTGCTGGAGGAATTAAAAGGCAGCGAATTAGCTCAGTTGAGGAGCAGCGCTGAAAGCAGCCCACAGCTCCAGCAGAGCAGAGCGAAAGCTAAAGGCTCTGACCCAGCTGCCCAGAGGGGCCCTCCGTGAGGAAAGGGCGGACGCTCTGCAGAGACAAGCAGAGAGGGAAGTATCCTGTGGCCCTGGACAGTGGCAACCTCCTCCTGCTTTCTTGTGATTTGGATTTTCCCACCAGGCGAAGGCCTTGGACTGAGGTGACCCCAGGTGGGGAGATGAGAGGAAGAGGCCCAGGGAGAACAGCCTTAAGTAGTCTTGGTTGCCAGGTTACTGGTAGCCCAAGGGGCCCTGGGTCGGAGCCCAGTGGAGTGGGCGGGCCTGGGCTCCCCTCCCCACACTCCCCTTGGCAGTCCAGGGTTGTGGCTGTGACCACTAGGTCATGCTTCCCAACCAGACCTTGAGTGGAGACCATTACAGTTTTTATCGTCTTACACTCCCTTTATGCCAAGGTCATTAATGAAAATGATAAATAAGTTTGGTCCCTGTCGTGGGGTCACTGGCAGTCAGGGTAGCAGACCCCGCTGCCCCTCTCCATGTCTGTGCAGCCAAGGCAGCCCATCATCAGGTGCTTGAAGCCTGTCTGCTTCAGAAGGAATCCAGGTCCTGCTGTATCACTTAGGGAAATGGGAATCCCCTCAGGGTCCCACAGCCATTTGTCCAGTACAAGCCACCTGGCTCTTGGAAAGAGAAGGGGCTGTACCTGCCCTCTGGTGGGAGGTGCCCACATGGGGTGTTTGCTGGTGGAAGGGCGCTGTTACAAACCCCACCTGCCATTTCTTCTGCTCTCCCCTCAGGAATCATGCCAAAGAGGGGCCTTGACGTGTCGGCCTGCGAGATCTTCCGGTTCTACAAATTGATCCCAGGCAAAAGCCTGATTGAGCCCGTCTCTATGATTGTTCCTCGCCGGGTAGGTGTGGGTCCAGCAGCCCTCTCACTCACAGCCACTGTGCCTGAATAGGGAGGGGGAGGCAGGGGCTGAGCGGGTTTCCTTTGTAAGCTCTGTGGCCTAGAACTGACCAGAGAAAGGAGCTGACAGGGCGAGGCAGTACCTCATTTATATAGGAACTGTGCATCATTTGGGAACATTGAGGTATAATTGGGGTACAGTTTGTACCTGGGGCTCCAGTTGGGAACCCCTTGGGAAAGGCCTGGACAATGACTGGGCTCGGGGTCTCCCTGATGGAGAGTGATGGTTGCCAAGGTTGGGTAAGATAAAAGCCAGGAGTAGGGAAGGAGAGTGCATGGTTCTGGGCTGCTGTACTTCTCTGGGGGTAGGGAGTCTGGGGAGGGTCATTGCTACCACTGATGCTTTTCTAAAAGAGCTGAGCTGAAAGAAGCAGCTGCATTCTGTAGAGGGAGCAGAGCAGCTGTGGGGAACTGGTCTCCAGCAGAGCGCTAGTGTTTACAGGCGGAGTGGAGTAGCTGTTCCAGCATACTAGCAACACCTTGCTGAGAGCTAAGGATCACACCCAAAGGATGGAGCAATGCAGCAGTTTGACCAGCTAACAGCACTGTGTGAGGAGCAGCATTACGAAGAGCTGAGCTGATGGAGAGCAGCTATTAGGAGGGGATGGCTCATTCTGAGGATGGGTTTAGTTTGGGACTGAGACTCCTGCACGTTAGGGTCGTAGTGATAGAAATTGGTAAGTGATAAGTTTATACAAGTTCACCCTGTCATTTCCCTTCCCTTTCTTTAGGAAAGTTTTCCTGTTTAAAACCCTCTGCAAGTGGGGAATAAATTGCCTATCAAAGGCACTGGAGTGCTCTAGATCTACATATAGGCACCCAGGTTACTGGTTTGGGGCTCGAAGTGGAGTTATTTCAGTTTTAGAAAAAAAGACTTTAAAAGTGCATCCCCAGCCCTTAATTGTTGCCAAGGCCACTGGCAGAAGGGTTGCTCCTTTCTGAGACTGCCTTGGGGCCAGATGCTTGGCTGAGGTAAAGGGGGAATCTGCAGTGAAGTAACAGCCCTGAGCTGATTCTCACCAGCCCAGGGTCTGGCACAGGTTGTTCCCTCCTGACACATCCTTATGGGCCCGTGCTTCAGAATGCAGGAACTGTTCTTCTCCTGCCTGGTGGTCACCTGTGTCACCTTATGTGGGGATGGATTCACTGAAATGAGTGTGAATGGCTTGAGAACTGCCTGGCTGTGAACTTCCTCAAATGCAGCCTCCCCAAGGAGAGCCACTGATAAGAAGGGTGACTTGGAGGGGTGTGATGGCATGACCTGATCAAGCGCCACTCACAGGTACCAGGCTGTCTACACTGCATGTGCAACACAGTCATGCTCTGGTGTAGAAGAAGCTTATAAATGTGTCCAGCCTCAGCCCTGGTGCAATGACAGGGCAGGTGAGACTGGAACCAGGACCTCCTGTCACTTGCTCTCTGATCTGCTCATGTCATGGCTCCTTGAGCTACTGAGTCTGACAGTGGAAGCTGCAGCACAGTTTATAAACCTATGGCAGCATTGCGCAGGGTGCTGCCATGGGTGAATGCACAAACTCCATTGTGGTGCTGTGGTAGTGCCAGTGAGTCCCTGTCCACCCAAAAGTGCATGTTCCTCAGATGCTGCTCTGTCTAACAGCTACATGTGCCGGGATCCACGGGGTGCAGCCAGGAAACAGGGTACTGCTGTGCTCCCTTAACTCTCCAGCCTGGACTATCTCTCACAATGCTTTGCCAGTGACAAGCAGCAAACCCCTCCAGGTGCTGTTATCACTCAGCACAACCGTATGTGGAGCCCCACACCCAGCTAGATTGCATGAATGCTCCCAGAGCCACTCGTGAATCATACAGAGAAAGGCACCAGCCAATTCCCCCCACCTCCTTAGCCTTGCACCCCAGAGCTGTACCGTCTTGCCCTGACTGGTTAGAAGCCTGACCAGTGGAGAGGATGTGCACCAGGCTTTGTAAACTGAGCTGAGGTTTCCCAAGCATTTCACACAAAATACACTGTTTTAGGTAAAGTATAAAACAGATTTATTAACTACAGAAATATAAATGTAAAGTGATTACAAGTGGGAGGCATAAAAGATCAGAGAAAGTTACCAAAGAAAATAAAAGATAAACACACAATCTAAATCTTAAACCTTATTACATTAAGCAGCATTTAGATCAGCAATTTTCTCACCCCAGTGGATGTTACAGTTCTTAATGCACAGGCTTCTCTTAAGCCTGGACCAGTCTCCTCAGATGACCATCGGCTTCTCGGCATTCCTGTTGCTTCCAGCGTAGGTGCGGGAGGAGAAAGGCAAAGGCATACTGCAACTGTTTCCTATTTTATATCCTCAGTCGCTGTGCCGAGAAGACGCTTGCCCAGACATGTCTTGGTGGGCTTTGCTGAGTCACTGGGTTGAGCAATCTCCTGGTGTGGTCTTGTGCAACTGAGTCATAGAGTTGAGCAGACCCCATTGTGTGGGGCTTGGGCAGCTGTCATTGAGTTGTAAACCCCTTGATTACACCTCCCCTGATGATTAATAGTCATTGAGCACCCTCCTGGGCGTGGTTTGCCTTCTTTGTATGTCACTAGCAAACTTACAACATATTTCAGTAACGACCATACAGCAAAATCTCATAACTTTATACACACTAATGATATACATATTTGGACAAAAGAACAGGTTTCAGGAGATCATGACCTTTCATATGATACCTTACATGGCATGTGTTGTACGAAATATCACAACGATATGTGAATAATGAATATGGGGGTTACAGGGTGCCATTTTGAGGGACAATGTATCAGACTACACCAGCACTTTCAAACCATCCAGCTCCTTCCTGCTTGTGCTTTGTCCTTAATATTCATTTTGGCTGAAATCCTGACCCTACTGAAGTTAATGGGAGCTTTGTCACTAACGCCAATGGTGGCTGGATTCCCCCTTCATATGGTGCTTGCATGAATAACAGTCTTACTGAAATGAACTAAAAAGTGTCTTGCAAAATTTCCCTCTTCCAATGCAAGTAAGTGTTGAGCAAAGGAGAGGAATGTCTCTGGCTATTTTGTTGTCATCCTCCTTCTAGTAGAGGGGAGCCAAGTGGATTTGGTGTCAGGCCTAGTACATTTTCATGGCAAATTTGAAAGTCCTAACCAAACCAGGGCTGTTAGGGATCAGTCATTGTGAAATGCTCCCATGGCTCGTCTCTCATGCTGAAAATTCTTCTTCTCAGTAACGTGTTGAAGCTGTCAGTAGCTGGCAGCGGCAGCTGTGACTGTGCTGTCTGTGTATTTGCAGTCGGAGTCGTACCAGGAAGACATCTACCCAATGACAGCTGGAGCCCAGCCAGCACTCACGGCGCAGGAATGGCTGAACGGAATGAATAAAGGTCAGGGTCGCAGAAAGAGGACAGAGTCAAACATTGATTGGATTGTCTGGCGTATACACAAAATGTCATTAGCTATTTTACCCTTTAGCTACTGGAAAATCTTGGCAGAGTAAAAATTATATCAATAAAAAATCTGTACTGAGTGGCTCAGAGCTGTCTCTGTTGTGTATTGCCTTTGGAAATAACTCCAACCTTGAGCCTGATTATTTGAACCTACAGATCTCCTGTGTTTTGTTCAGTGCTGATGTGTATGCTCTATATGTGTGCTAACCATTCACCTACTTACATTGTAGGTCCTGTCCTGGTATCTTTGAGACCAGGCTCTGAAATCCTGAATTCTCTGCCACAATTTCCTGAGAGAGAACCATCACTGCGGTATCAGGACAGGACAGAAAGAATGGCAATGAATGAAATTCAGAAGCAAAGTGGGATCCAAGAAAAGAGAGGCCAGAAAAAAGTGGAGGAAAGATTGCAGGAAAACAGACAAATGCGGCTTTCAAATGGCTTCGACTTATTCGAGTGTCCTCTACCCAAAACCGAGAATGAGGTCTGGCAGTGGGAAAGCATGTGGGCATGGGGGGAGAATTACATACAGCTAGCAAAGCGTGCAAACTGCAGAATGTTTTGTATGGGCATAGATTGAACTGAAAAACAATGCCAAGGGTCTGCAGTGTGGGACTTGGGTGCATAAGCAGAGCTAAAGAAACCCCCCACTTCAGTGCTAGCATGCTGGTCACACAACTAGCGCTGGCCAAGACCTGTCCATGTCCCTGCCCCCCGGGAGTTCACAATGTAAACACACAAAGGAATGGTTACCATCACCATTGGATAGATGGGAACTGAGCCCCAGAGAGGCTGAACACTGGTCTACACTGCAGAGTTAGGTCAACATAAGGCAGCTTACATTGACCTAACTCGCTAAGCGTCCACACTAAAATGTAGCTCTCACCGATGTAAGTCGCCCACTACACTGACTTAATAACTCCACCTCTGTGAAAGGCATAGCACTTAGGTTGATGTAGTTGGCAGTATCAATGTATCAGGGGGTAGCCGTGTTAGTCTGTATCTACAAAAACAACAAGGAGTCTGGTGGCACCTTAAAGACTAACAGATTTATTTGGGCATAAGCTTTCGTGGGTAAAAACCTCACTTCTTCGGATGCATCTGAAGAAGTGAGGTTTTTACCCACGAAAGCTTATGCCCAAATAAATCTGTTAGTCTTTAAGGTGCCACCAGACTCCTTGTTGTTTTTGTAGTATCAATGTAGACACTGTGTTATTTCCAGTGCCTGTTGGCTGTCAGCCCTGCGCAGGGCCCACCACTGGAACCCGCCCTCCTCTGCTGGGCCAACAGCAGAAGCTGTCAGCCCGCCCAGGCTCAGTTTCACAGCAGGGAGCCTACCAGAAGTGAAATTGACATTCTTGTCAGTTTCATGGCTCCTATGATTTCAGGTTTGGTCTCTGTCTGACAGCCCCTGGGGCGAGAGGGCTGTGGCAGGTGAGCTCTGCACAACTGTCAGTGCCCCACGCTCCGGCTGTCAGTGCCCCACAATGCCCCACGTCAGTCAGTGCAGGCTCTTCTGGTGAGGACATACACTGCCGGAGGAAGGAGGGTAGTGTGGACACCAGTAGTCAATTGAGTTACTGCAGTGGCTGTAGGTGGACCTAACGTAAGACATGCCTTCAGTGTCTTACATCGTGGGAGATACATTTTAGTGTACTCACTCACGATACTGATTTAATACTCCACCTCCGCGAGAGGTGTCGTGCTTAGGTCGATGTAGTTAGGTCAATGCAGCATCAGCGTAGACACTGTGTTGCTTACATCGTGTGTGGCTGCCTTTCAGAAGCTGTCCCACAATGCCCCACAGTGACAGTTAAATCGGTGCAAGCGTTCCTGGTGAGGATGCGCACTGCTGACACAAGGAGGGTAGTGTGCATGTGAAAAGTGATGTAATTACTTTGGTGGTTGTACATTGATGTAACTTAGGTCGACTTCATATTGTAGTGTAGACTTGCCCTGAGTGACTTGCCTAAGGGAGCACAGGGAGTCAGTGGCACAGCCAGGAATTGGACCCAGGTGTCCTGAGTGCCAGGGCAGTGTTTTAGCAACCAGCCCATTGGTGGATTGGAGTCACCTTGCCTGGGGGTGGGGCTGGGATGGAAAGAAATGCATATTCTTCTGTCTGTTTCCTTTCCTGTGTGTTAAGGATGTAGAGCTTTGCTGGAACAACAGTTGGTGCCTGGCATGGGCAAGGTGCTAGTCTAAGCTGTCAGGTAGTGGCTGCAGTGCCTAACTGCTTTGGGAGGGTCTGGGCACCCTTGTTTATGCTGTGATGCTGTAGAGCCGCAGTGGAGCACAGACATTCATGTGCATTATGCCGAGACCCAGCTGGGGCACAACAGAAATAAACAGAATGCTGTTTGTTTTACAGCTGTTGCAGATGTTTTACCGACAGCAGGAAGAAATCCGGAGACTGCGAGAGCTGGTTAACCAGAGGGACGTTCAAATCAAACAGCTAGAACTGGAGATTAAAAACATCCACATGGACTCGGGCAGGTACTGAGGTGACAAGCCCACTCTGCAGCCATGGCATGCACTGTGCCTGCAGCAGACACCCAGGTGCCTCATGAGAATGACTCTTTCTATGTTTTGCATTGGGAAAAAGGAGGTGAATGCAGCGCAAACTTCCCTTGGCTCCGATAGCCACCTGCCTGCTGTCCTGGGTGCTGCATATGGATCTGCTTGGCTGCTCTACAATGTGCTGCCAGCCAGTTCTCTCACTGCAGGTGATCCCAGGTTAAAGGTACTTCTAGAGCTGCACCAAGTCTGGGGAGACTGAGGCTGGAACAGCGCAGGAAAGGCTCTGGTCTGCGGCCTCCATGCGACTCCCCTGTGCACCACGAGGGCACTGGAGCAGGGCTGGCTGGGCTCCGGGCCTGCATCCTCCTTGTGACTCCCCTGTGTGCTACAGGCATGTGGCGTTAAGCATGGGGCCTGCTGCCAGCCTGTGCTTGGACTGCAGCTGCAGTGGCCCTGCCCTCCATGGCAGGTGGGGAAGGCTGCCAGTGCCAGACAAGTGCTGTATGGAGTGGAGCCCTCAGAGGTAGCCCCTATCTCAGAGGAACCATCACGACACCCAAAGGGGAACTGGTCCCTGCTGCTGCTCTTCCCCTGGCCCCCACAAAAAGGGCGTTTAATGGGGAGGGTCATGAGAGCAGTGAACTCCTGCTGCAGGCTGGACACTGCCTCCCCTTGTTCTCGTACAGCAGAAAGCCCCCAGGGCAGGCTGGATAGCAGCCCCTGTCCCTACGGGCACTAATCCAGCCCAGGGGCACCGGAACAGGGGGAGCCAGAGGCCATGGCCCCCATCACTTTTAAAAGTGGGAGGACATAGCCACTTGTTTCCTGTCTTAAGGGCGGTGGAGAAGAGCAAGCGGCAGGCAGGGCCTTGGGGGGGAAGAGGTGGAGTGAGGGTGGGGCCCCGGGGGAAGAGGCGGGGCCTGGGGAGAGGGAGCCGGGGTGGGGCCTCAGTTCAGGCACCAGTGGCCCCTCCACTTCCAGCGAGCTTCTGGTGCTCCTGATCCTGCCCCAGGGAGATCAGGCTGCATGCTGGCATAAAGGCCTGTGGGCACAAGGGTGATGTCAAAGGACAGCACACTGCACTAACAAGGGACGGGATTATGTCACACAGTGCTCTTGGTGCTCCCTGGAGGAGGGCAATGCAGGGGAGCTCTGCCCAGGACATGCCTCGCAGGGCACATAGGCAACGAGACTGCCAGCCGCACTGTTTTAGGCCTTAGTTTCCCAGAAGAGTGAGAGAGTCACTGAAGGCAAGTGGGTGCTGAAAATCCATGTGGCTACGGTGAGAACATCTCTGCCCCTGCACAAGGGCTGGGTCAGGGAGTGTCCCTGTCATAAGGCCAGTACCAAAGACCTGGACAGGCTCTGCCTAACGCTGCAATGTTCTCCTTGGTGTCACTCAAGCTCCACATCTCTAAAGCTGAGGTGAATATCTCCCCTGATGTTTCCCCTCCTCTGGCTTATTATTAACACCTAACTGCTCTGCATAGAGCTCTGTAGGCCTGCACTGCACGACATGGATGCCACAAGCCTTCAGTGCACTGCACATGGTGTTCCAGGGTTGCCCTGCAGCACAAGGCACTGTAGGCCTGCACTGCACTATACTGGATGCCATAGGTCCACACTGCACTGCACATGGTGCTCTAAGGCTGCACTGCAGCACAGGGCACTATAGGGGCTGCACTGCACTATACTGGATGCCATACGCCTACACTGCACTGCACATGGTGCTCTAAGGCTGCACTGCAGCACAGGGCACTATAGGGGCTACACGGCACTATACTGGATGCCATAGGCCCACACTACACTGCACTAGGCATTATTGGCTTGCACTGCACATAGTGAGTGACATCCTGGAGTCATGTTAACTCTGGTATAAATCTCTTGGGCCCATTGCTTGCCCCAAACAGCTTAACACTCTCCAACCTTCCCATTGAACAGGTTTGAAGCCTTTGTCTGTCTGTGAGGCTTCCTTCTCCTTGTACATGCAGCCCATTGCCACCATCTCAGCTTTGTCCCCTGTCATCTCCTGCCTTAACACCTGCAACTTCCCCTTCCCCCGGTCCCATCCTGTCCCTCCATCCCATCTCACCCCACCCCCCTCACCACATGGGCACCCACGTCATTTCCCTGACCTGACTTCCCTACCTGCCTGGGTGCCCCATTGCTTCCAGCCTCTGCCTACTGCTGGGCTCTGCCGCCTCATCTGCTCCTCTCTGCACCATCCAAAGCGCACGTCCACCCACTCCTCTGCCTCCTTCAGTCATGCCCCATTGCAGCTCCTTCCCCACTGCCCCACTCCCCGTCTCTGCAACAGCCTCCCAGCCAGCCACCGCCACTGCCCTGTACCCCAACACTGTGCACTGCAGTGTCAGGCTTCTGGCCCTGCAGAGAAGGGGGGTCAGTTACAGGCCGGGCCCTGACCACTCCCACCTCTGATGCTATGTGAACAGAACACAAGGGTGTAGGCGGGAGCCAGCTTTCATCTGCAGTCCGATAAGGGGAGTCTGCCTGTTGGGGATGGGTGGGAACCGGGCTGCATGCCAGGCCCATTCTCTAAACTCAACCATTTTCCAAGGGACAGAAAGAAGAATTGCTGTAACTAAAAGTCACTGCAACAACGAGGATTCATCTGCAAGAGAGAATTGAGGGCTCTGTCCTGCAAACACTCCCATGGGCCCAGAACTTGCTAGCCCTGACTCCAAGGAGAATGCCCGGAAGAGACGTGTTTGCAGGGTTGGGCCCAAACATGCTTAAACTCTGGTATGTAAGAGTCAAGGAAAAACTGCAACATGCCTCTCCTTTAGCTGTGCTGCAGGGAGAGTTCACACAGCCCCATGCAGCTCTAAATAAGAACCAATAAACTTAGGTGCTAAAACCAGTCACACACTTCCTTGCTTCACTATAAACTGGTCCTCTCTATTGGCCAGGGGGAAATTATGTTCTTCTTTTAGTAGTGTCCCTGTGTGTGCTCCACTGCACATGCATACGCGCCGCTCGAGCCCTTGATCAGAGATTTTCCATTAGCAGTGTCTGTCCAACCACGCATGTGCTCTACACAACCTTGCGGCGCCCTCCAAGGGTGTATAGGGCTGTGCAGGTGAATGGTCCTCAGTTCCTTCTCTGCCGCGTTGCTGAGACCGAGCTCCAGCGTCTCTGCCTGGTGCACACCGCAGCGTGTTTACAGTCATTGTTACTGAGGGCATGTCTGCGCTACAGATTTAGGCCAACTGAAGTCAGGCTGGCCTACAGCCACTGCAGTAATTAAATTGGCTGTTGGAGTCCACGCTACTTTTCTGCCGGCGATGTGCATGCTCACCAGGAGAGCTTGTACCGACTGAAGTGGGACATTGTGGGGCACTGACAGCTGCGCAGGGCTGACAGCCGGAGCCCCCCCATCCCAGGGCTGACAGCTGGAGCTGTCCGCTGGAGCTCCCCCCCCACCTCCGCCACCCCAGGGCTGATAGCCGGAGGAGCCGGAGATGAAATGTGAAATCATAGCAGCCGTGAAACTGATAAGAATGTCAATTTCACTGCTGGTAGGTTTCCTGCTGTGAAATTGAGCCCTGGGCAGGACTCACAGTTTGGGCTGTCAGCCCTGGTGCGGGGTGGAGGCTCCAGCTGTGAGCTCCATGCAGGACTGACAGCCAACAGGCGATGTAAGTAACACAACAGACCAGGCCTTAATTAGTTTTTATTGCTTTAGGATTAGTTTGATAGCTGTGAGAGGTTCAGCTTTTCCTCGCCCCGTTTTTCCTGCGTAATTTCTCTGGCCTGGCTGGGCAAGCCTGTCTTGGCAGGTTTCAAATGTTGCCATCCTTGTCAGGAGCTAGCCTGATCAGCAACGGCCACTCTAAGTGGACCTGTTACTTGGGAGAGTCTCTTATCTCCCAAAAGTGTAATTTTTTTTGGCTCTCAAATCTAGAGAACAGAAGAATCGAGAGACCAAACTGAAGCTGATGCTGATTGAGCACTCCCTTCGACCACCTCTGAGTCAGGTCAGGAAATGTCCCAGCCCATACATCTGTCTCTGGGCAGATCTAGTGCTCCCTCAGTCTTGGCAAAGGTATCTCCTAGGAAGGGGAAGACCTCAGGGGACTCAGGGAAGGCTCCAAGAAGAGGAGCTCAGTCTGCCACCTCAAGCCCCCAAGAAGTTCTGAGCTCCCACTAGGTCTACAGCGTCAGTGGCCTCGACTTCTTGACTCAGAACTGTGGAGGCAAAAGACCCTTCCTCTAGTATTGGCGGAGCTGAGAGATCCTGGAGCACTTCAGAGAAACACAGCTCCAGCAGGGGCCCAGTACCATCTGTGAAGGACGGGGAGGTACGGGACATACAGTGCTCCAGAACAGCACCATCTACATCATACTTACCAGCGGTAACTTCCCACTTGGCTCTGTTGGTACTGACAAAAATCAAAGTCTTCAGCACCGGTGCCTACGCGCTCCAAACCAACAGTACTGTCCACGTCAAGTGCTGCATCAGTACTGACCCACTCAGTACCGAGGAATTCCACTACTCCAGGGACTTGTCAGTGTTAGACAAGCCAGAGTCCCCACTGCTTATGGGTGCTGAATGACTCTCAGTACAGAAACCCCAGTCTCCGGCTTACCATCACTTCCCAGTACCACAGGATTCTCCACCCTTTTCTATTGCAGACAAACCCACCCCCCATTGCAGGACACTGAGGAGGATGAAAGAGACATTCAATCGGTCTCGTCCTTATCAGTACAAAGTTCCTTTCCAAATCATTACAGAAACCCATACTTTGATAAGATTCCTTGTCCATGTCAGGGATGATGAGTATTACCCCTCTCACATATGGTCCTACCCACTGGGCATACTGGGATCCTTGGGAGACATATTGGCAGCAATTTGCCAGACCTCCAGCTCTATTCCACTGGGAGATTAGGGTTACACAGTCCCCTACACCAAACCCCCAACACAAAGAGACCTTCGAGAAACAGGAGGATGGGGGGGAAGGAGGATACTCTTCAACCCTATTTTGTCTTTGTCTCCAGATGAGACAGTCATGCTCTCAACACCATCGATAGCTGATGATTTTTGTCAATTCCAGGTCCTTGTGAAGAAGGTGGCTAACATCCTCCAGATACCCCCTGAGGAGGTTAAAGACTCTCAATGCAAGCTCCTGGATATTCTGCAGTCAGGAACACCCACCCAGGTTGCACTACCTATTAATGAAGCATTCCTGGATCCAGCAAAGGCTGTGTGTCAAACTTCTGCCACCATCCTGCCAACGTGTAAACAGGCAGATGAGAAATATGTTTATCCCAGGGACTCAGAATATTTGTTTTCCTACTGCCCCCCACCCCAATTCCCTTGTGATGGATGCCATAAAAGAGAGGGGTAAACAGCATTACTCCAGGTCTCCTCCTTATGATAAGAACCAGGAAAGGTTAGACCCTTTTGGACGAAAGGCATACTCATCTGCAACCCTCCAATTTTGGACTGCAAACTATCAGGCAATTGTGGCCGAATATGATTACACAAATTACAACATGTTTGCATTCTTTATTGAACATCTTCCACAGAAGCACAGTGAACACTTCCAGGCCATCATTAAATAGGGTCAGTTATTAGCCAGAACCTCTCTTCAAGTGTCTTTAGATGCTGTTGGATGTTGCTGCTAGATTAATTTGCAGTGTGTTTGTCATGTACAGGGTGTCATGACTCCAGTCGTCGGGGTTTCTGAGAGAGGTTCAGAATATGTTGAGGACCTCCCATCTGACAGTCAAAGGACTCCAGGGCCACGTCTCTGGGTATATATACCCCTACAAATGAGATTTAGCAGGTCTCAAGCTGCCCAGAGATCACACCCAGCTCGGTTCTCTAGTTTTCACAGAACCACCAAACCTACTAGAAAAAAACAAGGAAACGAGCTTCTCATCCTCCTTTAGTGACGCTTGCTGGAGGATTCTCTGCACCTTGAGGTCTTTAAACCACGATTTGAGGACTTCAATAACTCAGACATAGGTTAGGGGTTTGTTACAGGAGTGGGTGGGTGAGATTCTGTGGCCTGCGTTGTGCAGGAGGTCAGACTAGATGATCATAATGGTCCCTTCTGACCTTAAAGTCTATGAGTCTATGAGTGCCCAGTCATCATTAAAACAGCAATTTTGACAGGTTTGACCTCCTCCCTCAGCTCCAGTTTGCAAGCTAGCAACCTTTTACCCACCTCTCCTCTTTTGGAGCCCACCTTCCCATTTCAAACAGGCCTGGTGATGTATTGCAACAAACAGGTGCCAGCACCATCCACTTCACATCCTCCCACCCTGTCCATCTTCAGGGACCCCTCTCACAAAACTATACTGAGCCAAGAGGCACCCTGAGCAATAGAACACATCCCATCCCCTCACACAGGAAAAGGGTTTTACTCCAAGTATTATCTTCTGCCAAAGAAGGATGGAAAGTGGGGTCTGACCTCAGATCTAAAACAACCGAACAACTTTGTAAAGCCTCAGAAGTTCAGGACGGTGACTCTGACAGCTATAATTCCCTCTCTAGAGCCAGGAGATTGGTTTTCAACCCTCGACTACAGGGACACCTATTTCCATTTAGCAATACGTCCTGCACACAAGAGATACCTGTGTTTTCACCATGGGACAGGTGTATTTCCCTTTGGCTTGTCTTTGGCCCCAAGGGTGTTCTCAAAAGTTCTAGCAGTAGTGGCTGTTTACCTTCGACAAGAAGCAATTTTAGTCTTCCTGTATCTCAACGACTGGCTCCTCAAGGGCCAATCTTACAAAGCAGTACTAACTTCCACCCAGACAGCTCTCTCTCCTTTCCAGGAGTTGGGTCTCCAGCTAAAAGTGAAGCAGTCCAAGATTCCCCTGTACAGAGAATACAATTCATAGGGGCATATTTACATTCGTTGGCAGTCTTTCTTCCCAAGGACAGATTCATAATTCTGTTGAATCTGTTCAGTATGATTCAAGGAAGCCCCTGTATTAAAGTAAGGAACTGTTTGCAGCTCCTGGGTTGTATGGCAGCTTGCATCTTTGTGAGTGAGTACACAAGCTTATGCCCCCTGCTGCTTTCAAGGCCAGTTCAGGAGGAACTATACCTCAACCAAGACAGCTTGGACAGACAGGTCCTGTCCAGGTAAATAACTCCCTGGACTGGTGGAAGAATCAACTCATTGTCTGCCCAGATGTCCCTTTCATCCACCCAGCTGACAATAACTGTGACAATGGATACATCACTATTAGGGTGGGGAGCATATCTCAATACCCTCACAACTCGGAGCAGATAGTCATCTCAGGAAACCAGTCTCCTGTTGGAACTCAGTGCAGTCAGGAATGCCTGCTTTCCATTCATATCTCTCATCAAGGGCAAATCCATCAGGATCATGGCGGATAATGGCAAGATCCCCTCCCTGTGCGCCAAAGTTATAAAATTGTGGAACTGGTGTATAGCCCATCAGATTCAGATCTCCGTCCTCTCCCTTCCTGGAGCCCAGAATGTCACAGCTGATATGCTCAGCGGGTGCTTCTCCAAGGGCTACAAATGGGAGTTGGACTCAACTTCTTCACAGGATACTCCAGAGGTGGGGATTTCCCAAGGTGGACCTATTTGGCACATTCAGCAACAAGAAGTGCTCCCTTTTCTGCTCAAGAGGAGGCTTAGGTTGCCTCTCTTTGGGACACGCTTTTTTCTTTCTCTGGTTGAAGGGCCTGTTCTACGCATTCCTCCGACACCACTAATTCTAATTCTGACAGATGAATAAAATCAGACAGGACAAGGCCAGGGATAGCCTCATAGTACCAGCTTGGCCAAGGCAAGCTTGGTATCCATATCTGCTTCATCTGTGTGTGCAGCCGGCATTCAATCTTACTGCTGTCCCCTCATCTCCTCTCCCAGGATGCAAGTTGGGTGCTTCACCCCAACCTGGGGGCCCTCTGTCTCCAAGCATGGCTCCTAGATGTTCACGGGATTAGAATCCATCTGCTCAACAGGAGTACACCCAGTATTACTAAAATAGTAGAAGGGAGTCACTCAAATTACATCTCTTCAGAAATGGAAAAAGTTCAACCACCAATGTCAACATCACCTCCTTGTGCCTGAATCTTGGCTGCTCTTGGTCATCTTGGGTTATCTGCTGGATTTAAAAATATTGGGTTTATCAATGAGTTATAGTAAGATTCATCAGGCTGCTATATCAGCATTTCATTCCCAGTAGAGGGGATTTCTGTGTCTGTGACCTCTAGATTTATTAAGGATTTTGGGAAACTTTACCCCCAGGTTAAGGATCTTTCTCCAACTTGGGACCTCAACCTGGTACTTAGATACTTTATGGGACCTCCATTTGAGCCTATGGAACCTTGGTTCATTTATCTATTACTCCTGGGGGGATTCTGCGCAAAAATTTTAAAAATTATGCACCTAAAAAATTAAAATTCTGCAAAATTCTGCAAATGTTATTTGTCAAAATAATGCAATATAATCACACCCGTTTCAATTGTTTTGGTAAGTTATTTAAACTACAATACAGAAAAAAGTCACAATAACTATTAAGTATTTCCTAAACACATGAAAGTTAAGTTACCAATACTTGGTAACTAATACCCTGCATTCCAGTTATAATCCTGGATTTTCATTTAAATTATGTTACAGAACACCAAACAGGAAAAAAAAAAGTAGAATGTCATTTTAAATTGCTCAGACTTTCACACGTGAAAGTCGTAGAGTTTTGCTAATCATTGTCCTGGACCTAGTGGGTACTTTGGGAAGTGCTTGGTTCTGATTGTCCTGACATTTTATTGACTGCTTGGCAAATGTTTTATCTGCCCTCAAAAATCTTTTTTTTTTTAAATGGGTAAGTAAAAACGTAAGCCCATTGTGCCACTTTGGCACAGGAAAAAAGTGAGAACGCTCATAGATCTTCCTAGCTGATTCCCTTACTGTCATTTATAAGGCTTTACATCACTCTGGCAATGTAGGGGCTTGAAAACTTTTACAGGTTTTTTTGCTCCTGGGGGACTTGACTGAGAATGGGAGCTGTTAACTAACAATAGAATAATTAACAATGTTACATTTCTGCCTCAGCGAATGAGATCAATTAACCATCAACAGAAACATTAACAAAATGTGTTGTTGTTTTTTACAAAAGCTATTTTCTTTTACTTTAAAACAAACAATTTTCAGTAACATGATAGTAATATTTAATTAAGTGTTTTTTAAGTTCTCAGGAAGTTCCATTTTACTAGGCAGGCAGGCTGCTATGCTTCTGCCTTGGGGGCAGAGCCTTCCTCCTGCATAACAAAAAGACCTGCCCTCCTCCACGCCCCTTGAGCCGCAGTATCAAGAGAGAGGGACAGAGTCTCTCTTGCTTGTTGGCCAGCCCCGCCCCCTGATGGTGATCAACGGCTCCCTGCAGTGATTTGTGTCCTGCAGCTGCTCCAGGCAGGCAGAACAGCCACACTGCCTGGGCTGCCGGAGTAGAGACGCGTGTCCTCCCAGAGATTTCTTTTGCTTTTTTCTGCGTGGGGGGCACAGAAATATGCAGGCCATATGAATTCTGTGCCCCCACATGGGCGCAGAATTCTGTCAGGAGTAATCTAGGAAGATGGCCTTTCTAATACCTACCATGTCAACCTGCAGGGTGGGAGAGATTGGAGCCCTAATGGTATTTTTAAGGGACAAGATCTCCTTATGGCCACATCCAAAGTTCTCACCTAAGTGCTGTCAGATTTCCATCTTAAACAAGTATATTCATATACCAATATATTTTTTCCTAAACCCCAGAGACCATGAGACCTCCTTTCATACGTTAGATGTACGATGGGCATTTGCCTTTTACCTGGATAGGACCAAGCAATTTCGGAAATCACCTAGAATGTTTGTCTCCATCACAGAAAGATTTAGAGGGTCCATGATTTCTTCACAGAGACTATCGAGAGGGATCTTTGGGAATATTGTTGCTTGCCATGATCCAGCTGGTGCTTTGGCTCCCCAGAAGACAATAGCACACTCTACCAGATGACAGGCAACTTCCAGAGTGTTACTCAAAAACATGCCAACATCCAAGAGATGCAGAGCTGTTACATGAACATCAGTTCATGCCTTCACTGAACACTACCCCTTGGTCTATACCACTAGATCGGATGTGGCACTTGGTTCTGCTGTACTGTCTTCAGTCTTGGACTTGATTCCAAAGCTCCCTGTTCCCTGTGAGGATATTGCTTGGAAGTCACCTGAAGTGGAGCACCTATAGGGACATTACCTGCAATAACTGTGGTTCTTTGAGATGTGTCCCCCTATGGGTGCTCCACTACCTGTCCTCTGTCCCCTCTGCTTTGGACTGTACTTTGTTGGATGGTGGGATAGAGAAGGAACCAAGGATGGTTTTCCCGCACAACCCTCATAATGTGCCACAAGGTTGTATAGAGCACATGCGTGGGCTGAACAAACAGTGCTAATGGAAAATCTCTGATCAAGGGCTAAAGTGGCTCATGCACCTCTGAAATGGAGCACCTGTAGGGACACCCATCTAGAAGAACCACAGTTACTGCACAAGGTGAGTAACCTTTTCTTCATATGCTACAAACTGCTTTATACTTGGCTTTCCTCGTCTGTGTCTCCACACTGTGGTGTAAAAGAAATACTAGTTATGCTGGTGGTTGTTTTGTATGGAGTGCTGTCTGTAGAACACACCTCCCTGCATGGTTCAGCATCATCTTCATTGCAGAGGTGGCTGTGAGATAGCACCAGCCCTTTGCATCCACATCACCATTTCCAAAGGTTAGGCAAATTAGAGTTGGGCAGATTTTTTTTAACCAGAAATGTGATACTTTGTGCAGTTTATCATCTACACCTGAAAGCTTTGAAAATAAATATTTCAATAACCGGTTTTCATGGAAACTTCCAGACATAATTGGTGTGATAAATCATCATTTTCCAACCAGCTCTGATAAAAACCAGACACATCAGAGACAACCTTATTGATAAATACAGTATCATGCCTTTTCATGTCAACACAAGGTGTATTTTCTTTATTTTTAGTTTTGTTTTTCATTCAGAATACATTATTTAAATTATTTGTCAGTGAAAATAACAGGAAAATCATCTTTACACGGCATTTTTGAGTCTTCTTATTGATTGTGCTTTTGTTTATGTATATGACCAGATAGCCTCGAAATTGATCAGGAATCACGGTTTTTAACCAATTATCAATAGACTTGTTGATCTCAGTGTTTACTTGAAAAGATAATATTTGTGTTTATTGTTTACTATCAACCTTTCAGAGAACAAAAAATATCTAATCAGCACTTGAATATGATCTTTTAAATAATACCTCTGTGTCAATGTAGACATTGAAATCGAATTCATTCTGGAGCTGAAATGTAGTCATAAATCTTTTACAGAATGAAATGTAATGGCAGACTTTGGTTTATGCTTTATTAACCTGTGCCTAAATATGTGTGAATGATGATTTGACATTGTTTCTTAAATTCCTTGTATCTTTGTAAAAAATAGAAAATGGAATTGTGCAATCTGTAAAGCAAATATAACTAAAGAATGAATAGCTGGCTAGAATTTTACTTTTTAATATATTAAGGGTTTGTTTTGCTAATTGTTAATTTACTTAAAGAAAAATTCAACACCAAGGACTACCTGCGCAGGCTCGGCAGTGTGTGTCTCCGACTGTTCCCTTTGCTCATGTGGCTGGGGGGCCGTATGTTACTTGGCAGGAACAGTACGTTATTGTAAACCCATGTATAGTATGTCTTCCTTTGAACCTTCCCACCTGGGCACCAAGTAGGGTACTCATCTCAGTGCCCTTTAGATTATATTGCTGTGTATAGCCAATTTCTAATAAAACTAATATTTAAACATTGAAATCTCTCTCTCGCTGCTAGGTATTTCCTGCCTTTCAACCATTACACTGTTCTGGGTACTGAAATGTTTGTGCTGGACCCTAGACTTGAAGGAACCATAGCTAGGAGCTCAAGCTTTGAATACCTCAGCAAAGGGGTTTGCATGTCACATAAAGGCAACCATTGTGAGACATTCCTCCTGTCTGAACTGGAGAGTGGGTAGAGAGGAATTGCCAGCAAAAGAGAACTCTGGTCCTCCCCCACGAAGTAAGTGTGCATGTCTCTACTTCCTGGAGACACATCCTGTTGTGCCAGGCTGCAGCTGAAGGAGAAATGGCGGCTCCCTGCCTTCGCAGTCACAGTGTAATCCAACGCTCTGTACAGCACTTTGGGATACAGTACTGTAATGGGCCAGATGGAACCAAAGTTAGAGCCAGATCTTCAGCAAATGGAAATCAGTGTTGCTCTTCATGTGTTAGGGTTGGGTTTAGGGGCGAGGTTGGGGTTAGAGGTAGGGTTAGGGTTTAGGGTTGGGGGGTAGGGTTTAGGGGATAGGGATTGGGGTTAGATTTAGGGTTAGGATTAGGGTTTAGTGTTTGGGTTAGGATTAAGGGTTAGGGTTCAGGGTTTAGGGTTGGGGTTACGGTTTAGGGTTAGGGTTGGGTTAAAGTTTAGGGATTAGGGGTAGGGTTGGGGGTTTGAGTTTAGGTTAGAGTTAGAGGGTTAAAGTTGGGGTTGGGGGTTTGGGGTGAGGGTTTAGGGTTAGAGGGTTAGGTTAGGGTTTAGGGTTGGGTTGGGGTTAGGGTTAGGCTTAGGGGTTACGGTTAGTATTAGGGTTAGGTTAGGGTTAGGGGTTACGGTTTAAAGTTAGGGGTTAGGTGTTAGGATTTGGGTTAGGGTTTAGGATTAGGGTTGGGTTAGAGTTTAGGGTTAGGGGGTTAGAATCAGGGTTTGGGGTAAGGGTTAGGGGCTTAGGGTGAGGGGTCAGGGTAGGGTGAGGGTTAGGGTCGGGTAGGGTTAGGTTAGGTTTAGGGTTGAGAGTGAAGGGTTAGGGGTTAAGGATGAGGGGTAGGGTTAGGGTGGGGGTTAGAGTTTAGGGTTGGGGTTCAGGGTTAGGGTTTAATGTTAAGGTTCTGTTTTGGGATGGGGTATGGGTTAGGGTTAGGGTTGGGGTTAGGGTTGAGATTTGGGGTTAGGGTTAGAGTTGGTTTAGGGTTAGGATTAGGGTTTTAGGGTTAAGGCTAGGAGTTAGGGTTTAGGTTTAGGGGTTAGTGTGACAGTGAGGTAGGGTTAGGGTGAGGGTAGGGGTTAGGGTTAGCCTTAGGGTTAAAGGTTAAGGATTATGGTTCGGGTTAAGGGTTAGGTTTAAGGATGAAGGGTTGGGTTTAGGTTTGGGTTAGGATGAGGGTTTAGGGGTTGGGGTTTAGGGTTCAGGTGGAGGTTTAGGGGGAGGGGCAAAGTAGGGGAAGGGGTTAGGGTTGGGTGGTTTAGGGTGAGAGGTGAGGGTGGGATTTGGGTTAGGGTTAGGGTTTAGGAGATTGGGTGAGCGTTTAAGGTTGGGGTCAGTGTTTAGGGTAGGGGTTAGGGCTGGGGTTAGGGCTAGGGTTAAGGGTTTAGGGCTAGGGAGTAGGGCTTGGGGGTAGGGTTGCGGTTTAGGGTTCGGGGTTAGGGTTAGTCAGGGTTAAGGTTAAGGTGAGGGGTTGGGGGTTAGGGTGAGGGTTCGGGTTTAGGGCTAGGGTTTAGGGGTGGGGTGGGATTTGGGGGCTAGGGTTTAGGGTCGGTGTAGGGTGAAGGTTAGGATTGGAGGTAGGGGTAGGGGTAGGTGTGATGGGTTCGATCACAGAAACCCCCTTGGGAATGTCACCTGATGTGCTGAGACTACCTCTGAGCCCATTTTGTCTGCCAGTTTTGGTCTTCCTTGTCGAGCCAGACACGCCAGTCTACTCCAACACAGACCCAGGGTCTGAACCATGCGCCCCAATGCTGCAGACTTAACTGAAAACAGCTTAAGTGCTCCTGTCTCCAGCACCCAGACACCCAGCTCCCAATGGGATCCAAACTCCAAATGAATCCGTTTTACTCTGTATAAAGCTTATACAGGGTAAACTCATAAATTATCCGCCCTCTATAACACTGATAGAGAGATATGCACAGCTGTTTGCTCCCCCATGTATTAATTACTTACTCTGGGTTAATTAATAAGCAAAAGTGATTTTATTAACTATAAAAGTAGGATTTAAGTGATTCCAAGTAATAACAGACAGAACAAAGTAAGTTACCAAGCAAAATAAAACAAAACACGCAAGTCTAAGCCTAATATATTAAGAAACTGATTACAGATAAAATCTCACCCTCAGAGATGTTCCAATAAGCTTCTTTCACAGACTAGACTCCTTCCTAGTCTGGGCCCAATACTTTCCCCTGGTACAGTTCTTGTTAGCTCCAGCTCAGGTGGTAACTAGGGGATTTCTCATGACTGGAACCTCCTTTGGTCTGTTCCACCCCCGTATATAACTTTGGCACAAGGCGGGAATCTGTTGTCTCTCTGGGTCCCCATCCCTCCTTCTAAATGGAAAAGCACCAGGTTTAAGATGGATTCCAGTACCAGGTGACATGGTCATGTCCTGTGAGACCCCAAGCCTTCATTCTTCCTGGCCTGACTCACAGGAAGGCTTGCAAGTAAACAGAGACATTTACAACCAATTGTCCTAGTTGATGGGAGCCATCAAGATTCCAATCCACCATCAATGGCCCACACTTTGCATAATTACAATAGGACCTCAGTTATATTTCATATTTATAGTTTCAGATACAAGAATGATACATTTATATAAATAGGATGACCACACTCAGTAGATTATAAGCTTTGTAATGACACCTTACAAGAGACCTTTTGCATGAAACATATTCCAGTTACATTATATTCACGCTCATTATCATATTTTCATAAAATCAATCAGCGTCACAGCAGGGGTTGGGTTGGGGGTCAGGGTGAGGGTGAAGATGGGGGTTAGGGTTTAGGGTCAGGGTCAGAGGTAGGGGGTAGGGTTGAGGTGAAGGGTGAGGGGTAGGGTTTAGGGTTAAGTGTTTAGGGTTAGGGTGTTGAGGTTGGGATTAGGGTTTAGATTTAGGGCTACAGCTAGGGTTTATGGGTTAGGGTTAGAGGGTTAAGGTTATTCGGATTCTGTCCTGGTCATTTGGAAGAGATTGGTTGGTGAAAATTACTAAAAATGAGAGATTCATTACTGATCTGTTTTAGTGATAAATGTCTCATGGAATCTTCCTCTAAAAGCCATTTAAATTCTGTCCTGGTCATTTGGATGATATCAGTTCCTAAAAATTACAAAAAAAAAGAAAAATTAATTACTGATCAGTGCTAGTGATAATTTCTCATTGAATCTTCCTCTAAAAGCCATTGGGATTCTGTCCTGATGATTTGGTAGCAATCGGTTCGTGAAAATTACAAAAAAAGAATTATTCATTATTGATCAGTGCTAGTGATAAATTTCTCATTGAATCTTCCTCTAAAAGCTGTTAGGATTCTGTTCTGGTCATTTGGATGATATCGGTTCTTGAAAATTACAAAAAAAGATAAATTCATTATGTATCAGTGCTAGTAGAATCTTCCTCTAAAAGCCATTAGGATTCTATCCTGATCATTTGGTAGAGATCGGTTTGTGAAAATTACTAAAAGACTATTTCATTACTGCTCAGTGCTAGTGATAAATTTCTCATGGAATCTTCCTCTAAAAGCCATTATGATTCTCTCCTGATCATTTGGTAGAGATCGGTTTGTGAACATTACAAAAAAAACCCAGATATTCATTATTGGTCAGTGCTAGTGATAAATTTCCCATTGAATCTTCCTCTAAAAGCTTTTAGGATTCTGTTCTGGTCATTTGGAAGAGATCGGTTTGTGAAAATTACTAAAAATGAGAAATTCATTACTGATCAGGAACAGTCAACGTGGATTCCCCAAGGGCAAGTCATGCCTGAGCAACCTGATTGCCTTCTATGATGAGATAACTGGCACTGTGGATATGGGGAAAGGGGTGGATATGATATATCTTGACTTTAGCAAAGCCTTTGACACAGTCTCCCACAGTATTCTTGCCAGCAAGTTAAAAAAGAATGGATTGGATGAATGGACTCTAAGGTGGATAGAAAGCTGGCTAGATTGTTGGGCTCAACAGGAAACCATCAATGGCTTGATGTCTAGTTGGCAGCCGGTATCAAGCGGAGTGCCCCAAGGGTCGGTCCTGGGGCCAGTTTTGTGCAACGTCTTTATTAATGATCTGGATGATGGGATGGATTGCACCCTCAGCAAGTTCGCAGATGACACTAAGCTGGGGGGAGAGGTAGATATGCTGGAGGGTAGGGATAGGGTCCAGAGTGACCTAGACAAATTGAAGGATTGGGCCAAAAGAAATCTGATGAAGTTCAACAATTACAAGTGCAGAGTTCTGCACCTCGGAAAGAAGAATCCCATGCACTGCTACAGGCTGGGGACTGACTGGCTAAGCAGCAGTTCTGCAGAAAAGGACCTGGGGATTACAGTGGATGAGAAGCTGGATATGAGTCAGTCGTGTGCCCTTGTTGCCAAGAAGGCCAACCGCATATTGGGCTGTATTAGTAGGAGCATTGCCAGCAGATCGAGGGAAGTGATTATTCCCCTCTATTCGGCACTGGTGAGGCCACACCCGGAGTATTGTGTCCAGTTTTGGTCCCCCCACTACAGAAGAGATGTGGACAAATTGGAGAGAGCCCAGCAGAGGGCAACGAAAATGATTAGGGGGGTGGGGCACATGACTTACGAGGAGAGACTGACGGAATTGGGGTTATTTAGTCTACAGAAGAGAAAAGTGAGGGGAGATTTGATAGCAGCCTTCAACTACCTGAAGGGGGGGGGTTCCAAAGAGGATGGAGCTCAGCTGTTCTCACTGGTGGCAGATGACTGAGCAAGGAGTAATGGTCT